TAGATGTTTGGCTGTGAGGAGGTAGTTGATGTTAGTAGAGTTTAAGATGTTAGACAGAACATGCTTGTTTTTTTGTTGTTGTTATTTTTTATACCAGCAGTGCAGTTAATGGGTAAAAAGAAGAATACTATGCAAATGTATACATGTTCCTCAATTTAGTGTCAGACTTAAAGATTTGTACTAAAACTGATAACATCTGAAGAAAGCGGCCTGCATCGATATTTAGCCGGTTTGATAAAGACTTGTAGAACCATCTTTTGTTGCTATAAGGGCATTTTTATTAATTTTTTAGGGGAGGGGTGTTATCTATTCATCTTTGAAACATTGCTGAAGCTCAGTCACATTAGAGATAGCAATTGTGGAGTCTCAACCCAAATTCACAGATTTTGGTCCAGATCATCCCAATTTAACGTTTATTTTCTGATCTAAACTATTCAGTTGTAGCGCTGGCTGTTTGTTAAAGGTATAGTGGAGGATTTTCGCAAATTTTTTGAAAAGACCCGCCCCCTTTCAAAAAAACAAAAACACTTGCATAATTCTCTACCCGCTCCCGAGAGGGAACACCTATTAAACGCATGTGAGAGCCCAAAAAAAGAAGATTTGCAATTTTTCCACTATATCAGACTCACCACCAGTAAGTGAGAAGTGAAAAATGTAGACGAGCACATAGGACGGCCTTACATAAACATATCACTAGAATGATTGACAATTAGGAGGACCACTTATGTTGATGATCCACCCTGAAGACAACATCCTCCACTATACCTTTAAGATTCTGAAGGGTCTTCAAATCATTTCCAGACTCTGATAGATGTTTTCCACCCCATATTTTCCTGTATTGAACTCCATCCATCTCCTAACAAGCTCTGATCAGCTTTCCTGATTGTGAGGAAGAACATATCAAAGCAAAAAATAATCTAAAAATGAGTAAAAATATCTTAAGAAAAGTGTATTTACTTTTAATTTAAGTAGGGGAATAAGATGATCTGTTAATGGAATGAGTATTTTTACCTTTAATTAGACATTATTTATTCTAAATAAGAGACTGCAGTTGTTGTTTTTTTATTTTAAATGTAAATTGTCTTATTTCATTAGCAAAGTGTCTTACTTACCTGCTGAAATCAAGACAAAATACACTTATGTTAAGAAAAACTGACTTACTTAGATTTTAATTTTTGCAGCATCCATTCAGCATGATGGTAAACACCTATCTATTGTCTCCTTTTTGTTACTTGGGGACTTTCTAAGGCAGTCCGTTTTACTTTATTTGAGCATTTTGTACAGGAACAGAGAATTATGATCTCTTTACTGAAGGCAAAAGAACTTTACATTGAATAAAATATATTTATCTGCACCAGCGGGGTAAGTACAGGCATTCAAGGGGCTGAAAACAAATGCACACAACACTATTATTCCCGTGTGGTTAAATTAACCAAACTTTTTTTTTTTTTAAACACTCTAACAAAGGCTCACTTCAGACTGCACCACTGAGGATGGTGTTAAGATTGGGTGTGCAGCTGAAACGTTAGTTGTAAAGTCGAACAGCTTTGTAGTTCAGCGCATTTCTAATGAGAAGGTTGGGGAGAGCTTTGAAAGAGTCGAGCGTAAAGAAAAGAGTTGATAGGATGAATAAACTCATGCCTACCTGTCTCTGACTGGGGTGCAGCTTGACTCGGTACTCCTTCCTTCGGTTTTTTTTCCTGGGATGATTAGCAGATAAACTGTTAAATTTATAACCCTGAAAGACCAAGTATAAAAACAAGATTTCCTTTATGAGCTATACCTGCGCCTCAACCCAAGTATGAGAAAGGAGATGATTAGAACAAGCCCAGCAGCTCCAGCTCCAAGGTAAATATACATCATGTATACGGAGAGGCTGAATCCAGCTGCGATGAGATGAAAAATATGGATTTAATATGAAATATATGGAAAAGATATTCTACATGGGTTTTCCATATCTAAAGACCACAAAATATTTTTTAAGACAGATTTATCTAAACCAGACCAACAGCAAATGTATGTTCCACCACGTTTGAGCTCCTCTAAGCACTTCACTACTTGGAGCAGGTGTTTGTGGTTTTCACAGTTCTGACTGTATCTGTTTCACTGTATAGGTTGCAGCACACTTTGCACCAGAAAAGATTCATTCGCTTTGTGGACATCAGAGATCATATCCTGTGTGTTGCTTTGTGTACCTGGAGGAGCTACTGTGAGCTGCACAATGGTGTTCTGGATCCCCCTGTCGGTTTTATAGGAGCAGCGATAGAAACCGTCGTCTTCTGATGTAACATTAGTCAGAATCACATTAATATCCAGGCTTTCTGTGCAGTCCATCATTCCGGTGATTTCTACACCCTGATCAACCATCTTACACTCCCCGACAGTTAACCAACGCTTGCCGAACATCAGCTTCTCCAAATAAGCCATGTAGACTGTACTGTTTTGTGGTTTATTGCAGCTGATGGTCAAGTTGCTGCTGTGCTCAGCTACGAGCTGTGAGTCTACTTGGAAGGTTTCTAGGGTCGGGGCCTCAGTGACGTTATCTTCTGGTGGCTCATCTGCAAGAAGAAAACATCCTCCAAATTAAAACATCAAAATAAAATTCATATTTATTTTTACGACGAGATCTAAGCTTGGAATTTACCCAAATCCTCCACCCAAATGTCCCTGGTCCAGGATCCATGAGGGAAAGTATGGACAGAACAGTGATAGAGCCCAATATCCTGATGGGTGACATTCTTTAAGGAAATGCTCCCATCCATAGGTGTCACCTTGAGGAACTCTACCCTCTCTATGTACTGGTGATGCAAGGAGACTCCATGCTTTGGACTGTAAACAGCAAAGGGATTTTTCTGTGGCACTTTGGTCCATGACACCATGCTGAGCTGGCCATCCCAGGGACACAAGCAATCCAGCACCATTCCTTCCTCCAGCCGTACTGTTTCCCCGTTTGTCTGCTGGACAGCACCTAGAGAGTTTTACCATTACCATTTTAATCATAATACAACATGCTGCAGATGTCACTGAAAATGTTTTCTTCTTGCGTTTGTTAGATCCTGTTGACCAACATCTCTATGAAACACTTAAGTTTAGTAGGCTTTTGCTAAAAACAACAAATTAATCTAATGCAACATGTAGAGACAGACAGGGACAGCATTCCTTATTTAAGGCTTCTTCAGTTGTTGGCATTGAAACCTTTCTCCAGACGATCTCCTCCCTTATACTGACAAAATCCTTTTAAGAATTAGTTTTGAGTAATCCCAATACTTTAATTTCTAACAACAACTCAAATATGATTTACTTTTGGTATTGTAGCTTTCATTTTTTTTCTCCAGATAGTAATTTCATAAGCTGACATCTCACCGCCCGATGTTTTTCTTGGACAAAGATTGCTCGTTTCCTGCCAGGCCAACCTCCAAAAGTCTACGCTTAATTATGTGTATAGAAATTGTTGTACCTGACTGCAGCCATTCCTAAGTAAGCTCTGCACTGGTGGAAACCCCAGCCCTGCTCCATCACTCCTGGAAGTTCCAGAGAATTAAAGGGATTGTTGATATGCCTAAAGCTCACTTACTGAAAAGTTCTTTTGATACGAAGTCCTACTGATATTTATTGTCTACAAAGTTAAGCGATATAATCAAAGAAAGACTAGATTTAGACATCTGAAGCACTGCAGCTGACAGTGCTTCCAGGTCATTTTGTGGCAGGACAGCATAAAAGACGGAACAAATATGGTTTTGGTAAAGAAATTCATTGATTTGTATTTAAGTGATTCAGCTGATCAGTTTTTAAAGCAAGCTGTATAATAAAGCAGTAAAAAGTGACGCAGAATATATAGTAGAAAAAACAAACGCTCTCCATCTGTTCTAAAAATCTTTAAAGGCTTGGAAATCTATAAAAACAAAAATGTTTATCTGTAGTTCTTTTAAGGGAATTGTCTAGAGGTTTCCATTCCAACAAAATAATGCAAAAAAAGGGAGTTTGCTGAACTTCCTTAACTTGGATCGCATCAAAGCTTGTCCTTAACAGACTAATTTAAATATCTATGTACAAACATAACCTACAGGTGTGAAAGTAAAGCCTCCAGACTTGTTTTTAATCTAACATTTAAATGACTGAGATGAATGAATGAGAGCAGATTTTAAACTGAGAGATATTTAAAGTTTAGAATTAAGAATGCTTTAATTCAATCTACTGTATAAAATAAAGGATTTTTATTGTACCGTATTTAGCTTTCAAATACAAAAATGCGACATCACATATAAAGACTGAATGTTTTTAAATAAACAAAAGACAATAAGACTTTGCTTTAATGTTCAAAGTTTTTTACAAAAAAAAGAAGAAATACTAAAAAAAAAAGGATTATTTATAAAAAAAATACATCCATACAGTTATAAATATATGCCAAAAGTCGATACCTTTAAGAAAAGGGAGGAAGAGGAGCACCACGAAGTACCAGTAGTCCTTTTGTACAGCCTCCATGTTGCCCCACCGAAGGAGAATGAAAGTGGCATTGATGAGACGAGTGCAGAGGCGCCTGAGCTGCACTTCCTCCATCGCTGCTTACAGAGAGGCACTTAAGTAACAGGGGCACAATTCATGGTGTTCCACTGTTGGCTGGCTCCAAACAGAGGGCCTCTTTATCACTGGGATTGGATGGCAAACCTACGACATCATCCTTTATGTTGGGGTTTCTAATGAAGTTTGTCCTCCATGAAAATAACATGTAAAACTCCTTCTCTGATCAGTTACACATAACATAAATGTAATAAGCATGACTACATCAATAACAGGTCGCTTCAGTTTTAATCTTAATCCTAAATATTTGTGTTTCCTTAAAATGTGAGGTTCTATCATCTAATAATGTTTTTCTGCTATTGATTTAAAAGAAACAGCGGTGGTTTGGTTTGGATCAGCTGCAGAATATCAATTCAACCACAAAGGAAGAGTTTGAAGCCACATGTACCCAGTTTCTGAAAGACGAGACCATGCACAGAAAAAAAGGTCGACCTAACTTTAATAACCAAATGCCAGCTGATAAATAACAAAACATGATGAAAAACTACACAAACAAAAAAGTCTATTTCGATCAACTGTTTAGCAACTGTGAAATATGATCCAGGCACTTCTGCAGGTGGGAACCCAAAGGTTCCTGCTTCTTCTCTGCATCTATAAAACAGAATAAAAAATATTAAAAACAGACCAGAAAACTAATTACATAAAAAAAAAGTGGTTACATGACGGTCATTTCAAAACAAAAGATTTGAGATGTGCCAATATTTTTTGACATGGGAGAGCAGCTGGAAGACATGGGACAAAGGTCAAGATTTTAACCTATGAAGCTGCATTGAGGACTAAGTAAGACCTTCATTCATTGGTTGTGTGCTTTTATTCCTGCGCCACCGCCGTGTCTCCATTGTATGTTAAGTAAAGAATAACCTTAATTAGCTGTAATTTAAGTTGTGTTTTATTATAGACCTAAATAAGAAAAAAAAAACTAATAATTTTTTCATTATCTGATACCTTAGCTTGCGCTAACATGCAACATACTTACACATAACATCACTGCCCATAAACACATGGACAAAATTCTTGGTACCTCTCATTTAATGAAAGAAGAAGCTACAATAGTACAAGAAATAACTTGAATCTAACAAAAAATACTGATAAGTAAAAGTTCTATGAAAATAAAAGTCAATTTTGGCTGAAACTACAGATGGTGTGATCTTACACTGATGTTCCTTCAGCTTGAAGTTTAACCTTCATTTCTTAAAAAGTTTTTCTGGACTCTTGTTTTCATTCATATTATCTGTATCTGATTTGTCAATCTTCCTCCTGCAGATACACCCAGGGAGGTCGGCTACAATCCCATTGTTCTTACATTTCTGTATGATATTTGCAGCTGTAGTCACAGGAACATCAAGGTCTTATAGCCTTTACCTTTAATATGTGTCTATGATTTTCTTTCTAATCTGCTGAGACAACTCTTTCATTTTTCTGGTCTGAATAAAAGATTGTAGACTTCTGTGATGCTAATGAGTAGACACATCATGACTTACCATGTTACTTTGGTCACATTATTTTCATTCTTTTCTAGGGGGTACCATTATTTGTTGTCCAGACCTGTTTCTAAAGATTTTTTTTATTCTATTGAAGCATGGTTGAAAAGCAATCTCAGACTTTCATGCGTTCATTTTCATGAATTTGTATTTATTCATTATTACTTTTGTCAGATTCAAGCTATTTCTTTTAACATTGTGGGTTTTTCTTTCACTAGATTTAAGGTGTGCATGAGGAATAGTGCCTCCTACTTACAGGATGGTGACAGAATTACATGTCTAGTAGGAGGAAATGGGGGAATTTTTAATTTTTTTCTTTTGTAAAAAAAAAAAAATACAATCATATAGAAATTGGAAAGGGGGATTTAAGACAAATTTGAATTAATATTCCTGTTTAAACCACAAAAAGGCTTTCATGTTTTCATGTTGTAATTTAAAATCAGATAAGCACTTAATTTAAACTTTTCATTAGGGACTCAAATGAAAACATCCAATTTCTAAAATATGGAAGGGCTGTTCATTGAACATGTGTGTGGAAACCGAGATGCTTGGTGTTTTTAAAGTGAGAACATTGCATGCCTTGCTTGAAGATGGAGAGGGCCTCCTGGATTTTTAATCGAACGGATGGACATTTCAGGGCAGCCTTCGCCTTACAAGAGAAAAAACAAAAACACAAAGAAAATAAATATGTTACGTTCTTAGCTTGTGTTGAAAACATCAAATCAAACCTTAATCTGAGTGTGAGTGTGTGTTAGTGTTTGTACCCTCTGATTGTTGTGCAGTAAAGCCCACAGTGCAGAAGCTCCTATACAGCAGGTTTCTAACTCTTTACTGTTCAAACAAGACAATAAAACTTTCATGGCTTTATCTGGAAAACAAACGTACACAGAAAATATACATGATCAGTAATTTTCAAAAAATCTATTAACTAATATAAATGATTGTTTTAAAATTATTTCATCATCATGCGGTTTGATTAAATAGAAACTTTTACAGCAAAAAACTGTAATTAAATTAAGTTCAATACAGTTACTGAAACACCCTAACAATTTTAAATAGAGAAGAAGGATTTCAGCACACGGTCACAATAGGGGTCTCAGTTTCCTAGAACTGCTCAATAAAAACCACAGCTTGCACAGAAAACATAAATCCTTCCACAGGAAACAGAACGGTGGTCATATGACAGTTTCCACACACCTAGGCCTTCAACTACCACCTGCAGTGTACTTTGTGTGTGCGACAGAGGCACACCTACACAGTTTTTCAGTCTCAGCAGCTTCCTCTGCTTTCATTTCGTATTAGTCGAAGATTATTTCACCTTTGAAAAGCTGAAACGCCAGCAACAACCTGTCTAAGTCAAACTAACCTTGAATACAACTGAAACCAAATCAGGTGCTTTGTAAACCCAATTTTGTATTTTGTTGTTTTTTATTGCTCTCAAAATAGTCTGTCCATTGCTTTCTAGCTTATTAATTACTTTACAAATTGATGAGAACAGCCTAATGTGGCAATGATTTGTCATAAGATGAGAAAATGTGCTTTTAGTTAGGAAATATATGTTAGATTCAGAGGAAACTTATTATCAATTATAATGTTTAAAAAATATTTTATTACCGGTAAGTTGAACATTCAACAGTGCCTAAAAATCATTACACCCCCTTAAATGTTTTCAAACATTTTTAGCAAGACAATGTTTATTACCTTCAAGTATTACAGCCCAGTTCAATACTTTTTGAAACCACCTTTGTGTTCAGTTACGGTTGCATATCTTTTCACACCTGCTTTACCCCAAGAATGAAAGTCTAGAGCTTTCATTTTTGAGTTTTTATTTTTTTATTTTATTGGATTTAATTCTGGACTTTGACTGGACCGTCCTAACATCAGTCTACCTGTACATTTAAACCAAGAGCGACAACATTTGTCAGATGCCTGCTTTTTTTGCATGTTTTAGATGAGTTACTGGTCTTACGCTAATGTATCAGTGAATGGTATTTCAACCTTCTGCAGAACAAGATCACAAGTTAAGGAGCTAATTCAGCTACAGGAAGTGGTCAGGTTAGATTGGAAACAAAATGTGAGATCATTTCTTTTTAAAGCTAGAGTTGGCCACTGCTATTTAGATTTAAATTGTACTACTGGCTCGATGTTTTGGGTCACTGTCCTGCTGACAGACAAACCAATCAAACAATTCTCAGGCCTTTTCATGAAAGGCTTCCCTACAGCCCAGAGTAATGAATGAGAGATTGTAAAGGAAAAAAAAAAAGTCTAATTTGACCAGAGGGCCTTTTCTCCACACTATGTGTTCCTTACATAACTTTTGACAAATTTTAAGCAGAATCTAACATCTAATGAGGTTCTTTCTTCTTCCTAAATATATGGAGTGTAAAACTAATAGCTACCCTGTGATCTAACTGTTCCACCCAAGCTGTGGATCTCAGCGGCTACAGCAGATTGACTGAAGCACCTCTTGGCTGTTTCTCCTGTTAATGTTTTTCCTTCCCTTGCCAGTAGGTTTAGCTGGATGTCAATGTCTTACTATGGTTTGTTCACTAATCCTCTCAAATAAATCTCTGGAGGCTTTTAAAGAGCAGCTGTATTTCTACTGCCTTTAAACTACACAGAATATTTTTAACTGGGTGATTTTTTTAAAGCATTTGCTTTACGGATGTCATTTTAATAGGATAGAAATACAAATGCAATTTTAAGAGATTTTTTTTTGAAAAAAATATGCTTTTTTTTTTTTTATGTTTTCAGTTGTTGATCAAAACCCAATAAAATACACTGATGTTTCATGTTACATTGCAAAAATGGGGAAAGTTTTAAGTAAAGCACTGTAAACTGTTACTCATATTACTTCTTACAGATGAGCAGGAGATTGTTTCAACTTTAAGGCATGGAATCAGATTTCTAAGCAAATATTCTGGCAGTTATAAAAAACACTAAAAGAGGAACCTTAAAAATCACCAAATATCTTTTAACCCACTGAATAAAGATTCAGTTCAAACCCATCTTCAGTGTCATACCATTGGCCATGATGTGTGATTTGTTGGCAGGGCTGAAGCAGAGGTTGTGAAGGGTGAGCAGCGCATGCTGTCGGTGCGGTGCCAATTCTGCTAGCAGTTCCAGGATTCCGGTTACTTTCAGAATACTCTGCTGCCCATCCTCTGTGGAGGACAGGCTGACCAGGAGCCTCAGCCACTGGTTCAGGAGGTTTCCACCGCCACCGACCGATGTGGCCTTGGCACCAGCCTTATGGGAAGGCACTAACAGGAAGCTCTGAAGGAAATTATTCTGAGAATCACAGAAAATGATCACAGAGGAGGCAGCTTACAATTTTAGCAACATGACAAACAAATAATTAAGCCTTGATTTTAGAAATCATTTAAGCTGTTATTAAAACAAACACTTAACAGGTTGTACAACTATACTTAACATTAAAGTGGTAAAAAAAAAAATTAATCCTTCATCTTTTCGTACCTTTTGCAGGGCGCACCTACATTCCCGTGACACAGCCAGGTTAGTAACTAGAGAGAAGCATAGATTCTGGATGGGGCTGTTGTCTGGGGCGAGAGAGGTCAGCTTCATCACTGAATTCATCAGAGAGGTGTTGGAGGAGCCTTTAGATCCTGGCGCCCCACTGAGGCTACTGCCACACAAGGAGCTGCATGCTGGGAACAGAGATAAAAAGTTTTCTGATGTAGAAAACAGGACACATTTAGCCATCTGTACCGACACATATTCAATCATTCAGTCATTATTTAAATAAAAAATAAAAAAAAAAATATATATATATATATATATATATATATATATATATATATTAGTGCTGTCAATCGATTAAATTTTTTAATCGCGATTAATCGCATCAATGCCTGAGTTAACTCGCGATTAATCGCATTTTAATCGCACATTTTTTTTCCTGATTGAAAATCATTTAAATACTCTCGATGACATACAAAAAAATACATACAGGCTAGGTTTGTGCCGATGTTCTTTTTTTAAAATGAAAACAGGTCACAGATACTGATTTATGCCATAGAAACATATGGCAAGAAGATGGGGAGGCATATAGTAAAAAATAACAAATATGTAGCCAAAAAAAAGGCCCTGAAAACAGGCTGATGTAAAAGACAGTCTTTACAGTTAATACAGTCTTTTGAACAAAGACAAGCATTTTACCCTACTGCTATAAAATTTAGTAGAGTTAACATTAGATGTTAATTAACCAAGATAATAATGAACAATTTTCAATCAATACATCAAAATCAATAGACCGACATCACTAGATGAAGGTAGTCTATGCTCTCTAGAAAGTTACTTTTCAGCCTCTTAACAAAAATGAGAACACACACACACCCACTCACCCACACACAGACACACCCACCCACACACACACACACACGATACCGACAAGAGTGCCGTAGCAGATTCCATTTCACCTCAGTAATCTGTTTTCTCAGCGTATTTCAGGTTGCTACTAGTTACCAGACACTCAATTTGTTTGTTGGTGGTGGGGCTTAAAGAAAAGGCACTAGCGTCACCCAGTGTATGAGCGTCTTTTTCCCTTGAGGAGGTCCGCTCTCGAAGCCTATGAGAAATGCATACACTGGGGGAAAATAGCCCCGCCTTCCCGCAGGCTGCAGCGGGATGTACTTGGAAAATTGTACCATAAAACCACATAGCGTTAATCTCACGTTAAAAAAATTATCGCCGTTAAAATGGCCTCGCGTTAACGCGTTAATAACGCGATAATTTTGACAGCACTAATATATATATATATATATATCATATATATATATTTATATACACACACACACACACACACACACACACACACACACACATCATGTCTTTATTACAGTGTCTCTATGTAATTATTACTCCATTCTAGTGTCGTGAGGAAAATAAGTATTTGAACACCCTGTTATTTTTGCAAGTTCTCCAACATCATGCAGGGATCTGAAATTGTTATCGTAGTTTCATGTTCAGTGTGAGAGACATTATCTAAAAGAAAATCAAGAAATCACAATATATATTTTCTAAATATTTATTTGTATGATACAGCTGCAAATACGTATTTGAATGCCTGAAAAAAATCAGCTAGAATTCTGACCCTCAAAGACCTTTTAGTCTGCCCTCAAAATGTCCACCTCAACTCCATTTATTATCCTAAATTAGATGCAAAGCGTTTTAGGTGCATGAAGACACCAGTCCACCCCATACAATCACTAAGAATCCAACTACTAACATGGCCATGACCAAAGAGCTGTCCAAACTCACTAAATACTAAATTGTACACCTCCAAAAGGCTGGAAAGGGTTACGAGGAAATTGCCTAGCAGCTCGGTGAAAAAAGGTCCACTGTTGGAGCAATCATCAGAAAATGGAAGAAGCTAAACATGACTGTTAATCTCCCTCAGACTGGGGCTCCATGCAAGATCGTGGGGTCTCAATGATACTAAGAAAAGTGAGAAATCAGGCCAGAACTACACGGGAGGAGCTGGTCAATTACCTGAAAAGAGCTGGGACCACCAATACACTAAGATGTCAGGGTTTGAAATCATGCATGGCATGGAAGGTTCCCCTACTTCATTCAGAACACGTCAAAGCCTGTCTTAAGTTTGTCAGTGAGCAATTGGATGATCCAGAGGAGTCATGGGAGAAAGTCATGTGGTCAGATGAGACCAAAATAGAACCTTTTTGGTCATAATTCCACTAACATTGTTTGGAGGAAGAAGAATGATGAGCACCAACCCAAAAACACCATGCCCACCTTCCGGCAGTGTATGCAAACTTGATGAAAAACTACAGGAAATGTTTGACCTCTGTAATTGCAAACAAAGCCTACTGTGCCAAAAATTAACACAATACCGGTACTTGTTGCAGCTGTATCAAACAAATAAATAGTAAAAAAAAAAAAAAAATCATATATTGTTACTTCAGGATTTTTTTTTTTTATCTTAGATTATGCCTCTCACAGTTGAAATGCACATATGTCAGACCTCTCTCCATTTCTAAGTGGAATACTTTGCAAAATAGCAAGGTTATATAGGTATTTGGAAAATTTTAGATTTCCAGAATAAACCTTTCTTTGACACTTTGTGTGTGTCAACCTGTTCTAGCTTTATCTCACAAAACAGTTTAAATATATATATATATATATATATATATATATATATATATATATATATATATATATATATATATATATATATATATATATATATATATATATCAGATCACTATGGCCAAATAACCCCTTGTTCACATCTTTATCTGGATTTTGTCAACTTTCCGTAAAGAAAATGCAACATTTTATACTCAAGACTAAAAGGAAATAATGTGAAACAAAGAGTATCATCTGAAAGATGTCTTTCCATGTGAATTAAAGCTTCCTTATAAATCATAATATTAATTAAAACTTCAACCTCTGCAATATTGCAATAAGAAAGGACTGTTTGGCTACAGCTTTTAGCCGTAATATTTCAGATGCCAATCATTGCAACCCTGCTTGTTTATAATATAGTCAGAACCTTGCCTGAACACCTGCTGGTTTAGTAACCACAATGTTAAAATGCTAAAAGAACTGTGACGGCATTGTGGTGATAGATCTTTCGTGATTGGAAGACAAAATATTTCATGACAGAATTTCAGGCCAACATCAAGCCACTACTGATAACAACCACACAGAAGTTCCCCTCCCTGTGTAAGAACAAGTTAACTACCACAATGAAACATAACCGCAGCAGCTTAGCTCTTTCCGTTTATCTTAATGCCAAAGATCTTGGCAGCCTCTGGCACCAATGAAAGCAAACAAATGCAGACTGGCCCCTCCGGTGGCCCACTGTCTACCACTACAGCCAAATATCCCTTCATGGCAAAGTGAAATGTTTTTCTTTTCCTCTTCTCAAAAGCAGAAAGTGTTGAGTAGAAAATGCCAAAATGATGAAGACAAGTGGTTCCCTTTATGAATTTGATCATTTGTTAAATACCTAACTGCTGCAGTATAACAGACGCTCGTTAACTGTTCCTTTTTCAAAAAAGCAAGGAAACACTTGTGGCAATTTTCGGTCTAATTTTTGTACAGGTTGAAATGACTGCCTCGTTATGACAAATTGAATGTTCTGACTCTGGGTAGGAAGTTTAATATTTCTGCTTAACAGCCTCAGGCTATAGTTAATATTTATTATGCAGAAACAACCAGAATGCAAACACCAAAAAGTATGAAGGAAGTGAAAGAGCATAAATATGTTTAAAAAAAAAAGAAGGTTTTGGCACAGTTCACATCAGCACACAGCAATCATCTCTGCTGCTGTAGTTTAAATGCAAAAAACATAATAATAATAAAAAGAAAACCTAAATATTTTGACATTGATGGATGTTTTTTCAACTTGCTGGTTATACTAATCCTAGAACGCTCCCTCAAACGTGCCTTTTAGCCTGAGGTTATGCGTATTCCTGTCAAGAAGCCATCGTGATATTGACAAGGTTTAAACAGGATCTCTGATATGATCTCAAGCATGCCAAGTGCTGTCTTCAATCTGATCAAGTATTTTGTAATACATGGAACATCTTAGCTCAGGTAAGAAAAAAAAAAAAAAAAAGGCAGCTCCTTTTCATCATCACTGGGAGCGAGTATTTAGGCTTTTACCAAAATATCTCCAGAAAATCAGAAGGGAGGGTGTAGTTAAAACAACCATTCCACTTAAACCAGCAACACTAACAAAGTTTACATGAAGGTGGTAGACAGAAGATAAAAGAGTGGGTAGAAATGCAGGCATCCCAGGAGTCTCACTGATTGCCGCGGGGTGGATGGTGTAACACTAAGCCAGGCTGCATGAAGTCTGAATCCAACCTGCTGTTAAGTTAACCTTTAGGGAAATACTGTGGCTGACTTCAATGATTTCTGCTGCTTCGCAGCTTGAGCTGATGGGGTTGGGAGAGGTGTAGTTGGGAGGGCGTCTAAAGCAAGTCAGTTTAGATCAGAGTCTACACACAGCTCTGCTGTGGAAATGCTGCCAATCAAGTTTAGAGTTGCTTTCACTAACCTGTCACTGCTTATGAAGCCTCATTATCAGGAATAGCAAGAAGTAAAATAGGACAGAATTCAGATCCTCACAGATAAAAATGGATTTTCAGCACCCTGAACTTTTTCAGAAGTTATTATTTATTACAAGCTCTCACTTCAGTGTCTTTTTAAGGTGGATTTAATGCATTAATCCAACACAAAGCAGAAGATTACTGTGAAGCGAAAGCAGGACGTTACATAGTTAAATTTTTTATAAGGTAAAAATTGTGTGGTGTGCATCTGTATCCAGCTCCCCCGAGTGAACACTTAGCAGAAACACCTTCTGTTGCGATTACAGCTGAAAGTCTTCTGAGGTGAAGCTAACCTGGCTTCCAAAGCTAAAACTATAAGTGTTGTTAACTCAGTAGTAGGCCTTTCAGTGCATTGCCTGCTTGCCTCATGGTCTGAAACAACCTTCAATTGTTATGCATACTGATGACACAACTATGTTCCACTCTGATTTAAGCGTTGGTCATACATCAGGTGTAGTTGGAAAAGAGTTCACTCTTTAAATAGTTAAACGATAATAAAAAGTTTGAGAATTCTGATAAAACTAGCTCTACGCTAATCATAAATAAACAACAATTGCACGACATTAAAAGTCCAAACAAAGAGCTCTGTTCTAAAGCAAGTTACCTAAATAAAATCATCTAGTATCACTGTAGATCATCACTTGTTATGGTCTAAACATAATGACAGTATAATTAGTAAAATGGGCAAAGGTATTGTGGATGCATGACAATTTTGTTCTTTTGTTACTCTTACAAATATGACAGAGGTTAAATGATCCTCGGTTCTTTTTTTGACTACTGCTCGACTGTTTGCTCTGCTGCTATCAAATCAGATTTAGCCAAGCAGCAGTTAGTCCAAAACAACTTGGCATTTGGACGTCCATACTCCTCTAGGGGTATTAAAAAGCACTCTCCTTTATTCTGGCCCATACTTAGGGTCAAGCTGCAGTATAATTTACCTATTTTTTTTTTTATAAAGAGGGTAATTTTAACAGACAAGGATGCTTTAGTGAAGAGATTATTTATTCTAAACAGACATATTATTTCCCCAGATATGCTTATGAAACTTAAAGTCAAACTTTTTACAAAAGTCATTCATCTAGAGATTATCTCAAAAATATAATTTGTTTTTAAACATATATTGTCAATGTAAATAACTGTTTTGTATTATGATAATTGCTTTTTATGAACTGGAACCCTGGAAGATTAATAACCTCTCTGGTGCAAACTGTTGGGGATCCTAGTAAGTAATCAAATGAACACATTTGTGGCATTCTTTCTTTTTTATGATGGAAATTAAATATCTTCAAGAAAGTTCTTCTGAAATCTGCTAAAGACATTACCAAATACGTGTGGCATTCCTTTTTCCCCCCACTCTTCTGTCCAGTTCATCCCAAACCAGCTAAATGGGAGAAAGTGAACGATAACAAGTTTATAATCTTGTCTTTTTTTCTGGAGCAGCTCTGGCATAGTTTAAACATATTTTTGGGGTCATTATATTGCTTTAATATGCATTGCTTCCCAAATAGGATTATACCACTTGCTATTGTATGGTGCTGCAACCTTAGATCCAATAAAACAGCCCCAGAACATCACACTTCCTTCTCTGCATTTGACAGGTGGCATTTGACACAAAGATCCGGTGTGATGAACCAAAGCTTTCCTATTTTGATTTATCAGTCCATAATACCTTTATTCAGTCTTTGGTTGTCCAATTGCAGCTTTTTAATGGCCCACAAAAACCTCTTTCAAACTATTCATTTCAAACCTGCTCTTCCCTTCACAACTGAAACTGAGAATTGCTCACAACAACTAATAATAAAGGTTTGCTTAAAGCCATTGTCAGATGTGGCCTTGGGGTTTGTCAGACCTCTTCCTGTTTCTGAATGGCTTCAAAGAAAATTGTACCAACTGACTCCTCTACCTTCTTTGCAATCGTTCTATAGGAAAGACCAAAACATTCAATGTTACGAAGGTCTCTCACCTCCATTGTTAACTGCCTTTTTACAACATTTTTGTAGCATAATACAATTAAACTCAAGCCCACAAGGGTATAATATTGTGTTCAGTTTAGTTTTTTTGGTGGGGGTGAGGGGTATCTTTCTTTTGAACCACTTATTGTTTAATACTTACTTTTGTACCATTTCAAGCTATTAGTTGTAGCTGAAGAACTTTAACTGCAATAAATAACTGAAAACACAGGTTGTTCTAAATCTTTAGACCAGTATTGAATGTTGGAGGCTTAACAGAGATGGTCTATTGGATTTAGTTTGCTGAAACTGTGTTCTCAAGCACACAGTACCTCCTTAACCGGGCATTTAAGTGAGAAAGGTGCTGTGAAAATGTGAACCCTGCGCAACTCCAGTCAGGTAAATACATGCACTACTGCCCCACCTGCAGACAGAGAGCCAGCTTGAAAGTATGTAAGCACTATAAAGGGGGATTTTCCTTGAATGTTTTTTTTTCTTTAACTGTTTTTTTTTTTTTTTTTTCTCCCCCCAAATCAGCAGAGCAGATACAAAACATCTCAGGCGAACCAGACATGTTCTCTTGTTTTATCTCTCACTGGTCCGAATCTGCAGGGAGACAGGCATGCGGCCTAATCGATCCTGACACAGTGCCCACTGTTACTCACAAGCAACCACGCACTGCTCTTATACATGGAAACACAATGTGTTCATTGCAAGGAACAATGGGACTCTTAATGCAAAGAGTGTATGACTCAGTGGTATTGCTAATCGCAGAGGGAGGCAACGGGACAGGCACAAACATTCAGACATAATCTACACAACATCTCATTTGCACCTGGGTGGCAATTTGCTGTGTAGACACATAGGAGCTCCAGCACCGCTTCCATTGTGGGGTCGTCCAATAAGAGCCAAGGCCATAGAGCATAGAGTGTTGGCGTTAAACGGGCATCCATAGCAGCCACCTACACACATGAAAAAATTAGATTCACGAACCAGTAAAGAGAAAAGCTTTGAGTTACAGTGTTTGCAGAGTGAAAAAGGAAAACCTAATAATGAGACATAAGTGATGCCCAAAAAGATACCTCTATTCAGCATAATATGACTCAACAACTTCCTAAATGTGAAGGACATCAACACTAGGCTCCTTGGAGAAAATAACCGTGCATTTCCTCTAAATGTAACAAAACACTGAGATAAAGAAGCCCAACTAGAAGGAATTATAGCAGTATCTTGCACATTTGGATGAATCTCATTTGGAGGCACACAGCACCTGTACTGCGAAGTTCCATTAAAAAACAATTAACTGGGGGGGATTTAATAGCAGGCGTAGAGGCTCACTTTGCATTCATTGTTGCAATAAAGAGCACTCCGCAGGATCTCTGCAGTCAGCTTGACTTCTTTTAAATAGCCCACTTCCTGAAAATATGGAAAAACAAAAACAAAGAGCAACATGTTTAATTGCTCTGGATTAAATACAGCCTTTACTGGCCTCATTAAACACGACAAGAAGAGTAAGAGAACAGCTGTACAATGTGTTTCGTATTCATAACATTTCTCCTGAAAAGCTCTTTGATGAAAGGCTCAGTTTGTTATTTAACCACACTGAGGAAAACTGTGCAATACATTGAGCAGTGCAGTGCTTGGGATAAGACGTCCCCTGCCAGCTGTGCACACCTTTTTGCTGTGAGAAGCTTTTCCAGGTCGGATGGACTTCAGGTGGAGGTGGGAGTGGATCTGCTTCAGCAGCTCCACACTGCTGTCAATTAAACCGGCTGAACAACGAGACAGAAAAAGGATCAAACCATCATTAAAAGACAGTACTGTAAAAAAAAGTTTATCTGTTTTGAGTTTGTTTCTTTCCTTTTAACCACATCTAAAACCTTTAAATTATTTAAAAATCTTTATATTAACGATAACCCAAATAAATCACTTAAAGAAAGAAACTAAACCAAATGAGACAAAGTAACTTAACCTCAGCATTTGTTGTGCCATCAAGTATTTGTGATAACTCAGAATCGTTCGCATTTTTTTTAAGAGGGGAATTTTGTCCAAGTCTTTTTTTTGCAGATCTATTCAAATGAGTCACTCTGAAAGGTTTCCAAATATGAATGGCCAGTTTCATCTGATTGAAGTTTTAGACTGGGCAAACCAGAAGCTTAGACCAGGGATGAGTAAAACTGAGAAAATTCACATTTCAGTTGTGTTGATTGCTCTCAGATTTTTTTTCTTTTTAGACCTAAAACGTTACGTGGTTGCAATTATTGCTCTGGGCGCAGTATTGCACTGATTGAGAAGAGAAAGAGGAACAATAAATTCTGTTTCATGGGGTTTCTGTTCCTACTTTGGTTTTCAAGTGTATCTGTGTGTTTACACCTCTTGAATATTCCCAGAGTCTTTTGTCTTGTGATTTCTTGTCTTATTTTCCTTCTCTTCTTCTACATATATCTGCTACTCTCATGCTACATCTTCTCCTGCTGCTTTTGCATTATGCTGCAAGAGAACTGCCCCAGATTAACAACATCAACACCAGTGGTTGAAACTGTGCCAAGATATTCGCTGGTCCGGTTTAGGGTCCTAAATGGGTTCATATTGGTGTGATCTATCAAGAAATTGGAGTCTAGTGTGGTGGAAAGCATTCCAAAGGGTTGGTTATAAAGCAGTATAAGTTTAGGAACAGTCACCATGGTGCTAAAAAAGCAGAAGAACCCAGAGAATCCCACCACATTTTCCCATAGATAGGGTTTTCCTTTCTTTCAAAGCTGGTTTTAGTTTAAATATCATGAACAACTAGCAAACCTTGTACTTTTGTCATTTCAAACTAAAGAATATCCTCCCAGCATTCCTAGGGATCAACATGTATTTAGCTTTTTTGTTTCAGCAGTATATTTTACCTTAGAATTCTATACAGAAAACAATTTTCACTCAATCTCTGCCTTGTTCTTGAATTGTGGAAACTGACCGGCAGAGGTGAGTGAGACTTGAATCGCCATCGGCTCCAAGTGTAATTTGAAATTAAGGCTGATAACAACCACATGGCAATTTTTAAACCACTTCACAGAATTACCCCAGTGAAACATTACTAGAGCTGCAGAGGCGCAGAGTCTGTTTACTTTAATGCTGAAGATCTTGCCAAAAAAAAGGGACGATTGTTGATGAACTGTTGGAGTACAGTAATATTTGTGGACCAGACTGAATAACCACTGTTTTACATTTGACCTTCGATAAAAACGTTTTTCTACTTTGGTTTTGATAGAAAACATAGACTTCAGATGAAGAAAATATCCATCTTAAAATTAAGGTTTTATTATAAGAAAAATGCTGCAGCTGTTAATGACTTGCCATCATATCACTTCTTTAATTCCAAAGAAATATTTACATTCTATTAAACAACAAGTGTGGACAAATATATTGCATGGCTGGAGAGCCTGAATTATAGTACCTGAATTTATAGTACCTGAGGTATTTGCATAATTAGCCTTATTGCAGTCCAGGCAGTTTTTTGCAATATGCATAATAGGTAATAACACTGTGATAATGAAAAAGTAGAGATATATGGTAATGGCCTAAACAGTTGAGAACAGAAACACCCACACACAGCTTTGAGTTTAATTGTGGGAAAACTTGACCAAGGATGCTTTTTTTTTTCTTTTTTCTTTTTTTTACAGATGACGGCTGAGTCCTAAATAATTACCTTTGGCAGCGTAGTTTTGAGCCGTGGGACTGCAGGCTAGAAGCGTCATCAGAGCCCTAGCTGTGAGCCTCTTCAAAGGGTCTTGAAGGGTCCTTTTCTCAAAGCTCTGACAACAATGACAACCACTGCGTTAGTGTTACTGTACATTCATACACCTGTTTGGAAGTGTAAAACTTTCAACATAAACACAAAGGCAATCCTGGGGTTAGCAGCTCCTCTGCTGATCGAGGAAACTATCACATATGAAACAGTATTCACACCTACCTGCAATAACAATTCACAGAGCTCGCTGGCAGCAGGACCGTTTAAGACATTTGACAAGGTGCTGCTGTGCTTAGATGTTGAGCTTCTGAGCTCTGTGCCGCGCAACTCAGTCTCCTCTGTGAAAACTGTGGAGAGGAACTGCAGAGCCACAGTGTGGAGCAGGACACCTGCATTTTTCTCATTCAGACACTGCGACAACGTTCCTGGAGACATGCAGCAACATTGATTATAATAAATGACAAACGCTTTTGGAATCAAAGTACGACAAAAAATAAAAAGGAAAGGGGGGAAAAGCTAATCCAAAGTTTAAAACCAGTGACAGCTGGATATTTGACTGTGATTGAAGCAGCCTGCGTCCACTAATCATCTGAATTTGTCAGTGAACGCCAAGACGGCGTAAACATCCTTGCCTACAAAAACACACACAAGCACAAAGGCTCGGCATTCATCTTTTACTGGACTCATTAAACGTCCTTGCTGCGTCATTAATCAGAGAGGAAGATTTGAGTAGGAGGGGTAGAGGTAGTTTAATTATCCTATCCTTGCATCTGTTTAGAGAAAGTTTATACCACAGTAAAGACGCAGCTGGCATGTTAATATGTCTCTTTTTTATTTGTTTACCCAAGTTAAGATCTTGTAAAATTTCACTAAAAGGAATCAAACTGAATATTCAGGATATGATTGTACAAAAATTTTCAGGTTTTGTCACTTATACTCTCTCACAGAGCGGAGGTGTCCACATATTGTACCTGTGAATGTCCGCCAGCGTCTGCCCAGCGCAGCAGAGACAGATGGGTGAACTGCCGAGCTGTCTCTCTTCACCAGAGTGGCCAGAAGCATAAACACATCCGTCCAGCAAACGCAAACCACATCCCACGTACCTGGGTCTGAGGAGGGGAAACAGTGAGTCACCGACAATTTTATTACTGTAAAAATAGAAAGAGACACAGATCAGCAGTAGTTAAGCAAAAGGAGCTGATTAAATGCAGGCCCTAAACAGATCATAAAATCATGTATACAGTAAATTATAGGAATGCACAGAGTTTTGTAAAAGGGGTTTGACCAGATAAGCAAACATTTTTTACCGCTACAATCCCAACCTGAATGCATTTCAATGAGATTCACTGATAGTCAAATGGCTACAAATAACATCCAGGGCTGCCATTAGGAAGTCCATCAAATAATAAGGTGTACAAATGGAGATGTTCTATCAAAGCCTCAGAAGTTGTTGAGGGAAGAACTGAAAAGCTTCCCTAAGCATATAAATTAGAACAAGGGCTGAAACAATTAATTAGATCAATCGTGATTAATCAATTATTGAAGTAATCATCAAATAATTAAGTAAGTAATCAATGGCTGTGGCCCTAAAAGGACAAAACTGACAAGAAGAGCATTCATTTTAGAAGCAATTAAGTCTCATTGTAACTCTGGAGGAACTGCAGAGATTCAAAGCTCAATCGAGAGAATCTGTTTACAGGCAAGTTTAGCTTTAAATAAAAAAGTGTAAAAAATTTTTTTTCCCCCAATATGTCAGAGGTCAATCTAAATCTGAAAGCTGAAACAGACAAAGAAATAATTGTCTTGAAAAGGTATGTCTGTTGATTTTCTGAAATTTCCCTCACTTTAAGCTTTTATGGCATCAACAGCTGGTTCTTTAAAGAACCAGCTTAGAAATCCAAAGATTTCTATTTCTATCTTTGAATATATAATAGAAATATACTTTCCTTCAGAACTATTAAATTTTTCTTAGAGATATTGCATCAAATCTCAGAAGATTTTGAGGTTTTAGGTTGTAAAATGGAAAAAGTATGTTTTTAAAAAGCCTAAGCTGCATTTTCCCCAGGCACTGTATACAAACTATACAATCTAGGGCTGCAAGTAACAATTATTTTACAAATCGATTACTCTGTTGATTGTTTTTACGATTAATTAATTTATAATTGGATAGAAAAAGGTTCCTTTAAGACTTTTTACTAAATTAAACCAAGTGAAACTAAAACTTTTCCACTTAAGGAGTTCTGGATAGAGCATATTGATCCAAATCTTTTTTTTATCTTAAATGCAAAAAGTTTACATATTCCTTTTACAATGTTGGTATAAATGCTGCTCAAGGTGGGTCGTTCTATCAGCTAAAGACACTTTCAATTTTATTGATGAATTTCATCATGGGAGCCTGACCTAATGATTTCATGTCCAGCATGAGAACAGCCACAAGATTAGACGACAGCCTCCTCAGGAAGTCCGTCTGGCCATTCAGCTCTTTGCTCTCCGTGACACAAGATCGCAGCAGTTTGGAAAAGCTTGATAGGAACTGAAGTGCAGTGACAAACTGAAAAAGTAAAAAACACAAATGCAGACAGAATTACAGAGCAGGAAAAAAAGAACAAGCAACATTTGTTGTCAAAGTTGGAGAAAAACAAGAAAACAGTAACTAAGATTTAAAGAAAAACCAAACCCCAATTGTATGCCTAGAGCCTAAGCTTATTAAGCATTCCACCCACACTAAAAATGTGGAGGTGCACTAAGATAACCTGTTCTGAAGCTGGCATAGAGTTCCAGCCCACGTATTTTGTGGTGGATCATAATAATGAAGAAACAGCAACTGGAAAACTTCCTAAAACATCGCTTCAATCTGTGCTCTTTACCTGACGCTTGATGTCTTCTCTGGTTCCAGGAAGGATGCTGGGTGTCTTCAGCTCAGTCAGACATTTTTCCATGAGCTCGATATCTACTAAACTAAAAAGGAAAAAGAAAGAGACAAGAGAAAGAGCTGTAGAAAAAAATGCCACTAAATATGAAAAACAATATTTTTGGTTTATTTATTTCTACTGTATAAATGCAGAACTAAAAGAAAAAAAAAACTGGTATCCTGAGTATCCCAGGACTGCTTTCATTAACAGTATAGAGAAGTGACAGTGTTGCATATAGTATGACTATACCTGCTCAGAACCTGCAGTAGCTGGTTTTGTTGGATGGCAGTGAGGGTGAAATCTGGTAGTATGGCCAACAGATTGTTCAGCAGGCCACACTGGGCCGTCAGGAGGTCAGGAGTTACCACGACAACAGCTTCCGCGCCTGAGGGCTCGTCTTGTTGGGAGTCCTGAGAGGGAGTAGAGTTGCTTGTGTCTCTGTCACTCTGACCTGTGAGACATGTCAAAAGACAGTGTATGAATCACATCTCGGTCCGTCTCTTGTGACGTCCAGGTAGCAGAGAAAAAATATGAGAATTCTCGGAATTGTATGAGTTACAGTGGTTTTTGGATATCAACTGTAACCGACCGCATGATGGTTTACATTTTCTAATAAAAGGTTGATTTTAAAGTATATGTGGAGAGTTCAAAGTCTAGACAGATTGTTGTTTCTGTAGTACCTTGAGCCATCAGTCTGGCAGGAGTTACATCTGGGATGCTCACCGGGGAGGAAACTTTAGGAGAGTTTAGCCGTGAACCTTTACTCTGTAACAGAAAAAACATGAGCCTTGGAGGATTCATTTCACTTTAATAACAGGAAAACAATTTCATTTGATCAAAAGGTCCTATGAGAGGCTGAGCTAAAAGAAGCTAGACATGATTAAAGCACGGTGACTAAAGTTACCTATATTTTCAAAGGAGAATTTGCTCTTTGGAAAATCTTTCTGAACTTTTTTTTTTATCAGAAGTACAAATATAACTAAATATATGAGAATTCATGAGCAAGGAGAAACCAAAGGGATGAACCATAGCTATTAATAAAGTAACACGTCGAGCTACAAATGGATTAACTTGTGCTCATTTATGCATTTTTCTTAGCTTGTGTGGTTTGATAAGCAGCTGCCTAAATAAGTTAAACTATGTTCCAGAATCGGTACATTAAGTAAAATTAGGGGGAGTTAAGGAAGCGTTTATGAAAGGTTGTGAGAGCCAACATACAGTATAAAGTAATATTCTATATTTAACAAATTAGAATAAATTGCTCAATACATCAGACCAATCTGGCCGACAGGGCTCATTTGTCAAAAGTATATAAAAAAAAACTTTAATCAGGTGTTTTGACATACTTTTCATAAGATCACATTTCTCTGGCATTAAAATGTCTCCTTTATTGCTCTGAATTATTATTTTCATCTTTCATGGTGAATGTCCATTACCTGTAATCAGTAAATCATTATAATTAACAAACAGGTGAAAACATCTGACTGTGTGTGTAATTACTCTACATGAATTCAGTACCTGGGAAAAAAATCTTTAATAATATAGTACTTTGGTGAGTATCACTGTAGTGTATTAAAAAAACCAGACAAATACCTGATACTATAGAATAAAAAATGGCACTTTGATTAAAAAGTGCCATTTTTTTTTCACCCAATGTCTAATCAAAAATACAAAATTTTCTACTACCATGAATCACACTCCATCACTTTTACTGAATCTAATATTCATGGTTTATAGTTGTTTTCACACTTTTTAAAACATAAAATAAAAAAACTTGCAAAGATTGATCCTTGTGAAGGAAGGAAGGAAGGAAGGAAGGAAGGAAGGAAGGAAGGAAGGAAGGAAGGAAGGAAGGAAGGAAGGAAGGAAGGAAGGAAGGAAGGAAGGAAGGAAGAACAGGAAGGAAGAACAGGAAGGAAGAACAGGAAGAACGGAAGGAAGGAAGAACAGGAAGAACGGAAGGAAGGAAGAACAAAAGGAAGAACAGAAGAAAGAAAGAACACAAGGAAGAACGGAAGGAATAACAGAAGGAAGAACGGAAGGAAGGAAGAACAGAAGGAAGAACAGAAGAAAGAACAGAAGGAAGAACGGAAGGTATAACAGAAGGAAGAACGGAAGAAGGAAGAACATAAGGAAGAACGGAAGGAAGGAAGAACAGAAGGAAGAACGGAAGGAAGGAAGAACAGAAGGAAGAACGGAAGGAAGAACAGAAGGAAGGAAGAACAGAAGGAAGAACAGAAGGAAGAACGGAAGGAAGAACAGAAGGAAGAACAGAAGGAAGAACAGAAGGAAGAACGGAAGGAAGAACAGAGGAAGGAAGAACAGAAGGAAGAACGTAAGGAGGGAAGAACAAGGAAGAACGGAAGGAAGAACAGAAGGAAGAACGGAAGGAAAAACAGGAAGGAAGAACAGGAAGAACGGAAGGAAAAACAGGAAGGAAGAACAGGAAGAACGGAAGGAAGAACAAAAGGAAGAACGGAAGAAAGGAAGAACAGAAGGAAGAACGGAAGGAAGGAAGAACGGAAGGAAGAACAGAGGAAGGAAGAACAGAAGGAAGAACGGAAGGAGGGAAGAACAAGGAAGAACGGAAGGAAGAACAAAGGAAGGAAGAACAGAAGGAAGAACGGAAGGAGGGAAGAACAAGGAAGAACGGAAGGAAGAACAGAAGGAAGAAAGAATAGAAGGAGGGATGGATTTTTTTCCCCACATACTGCTGTGTTGCTGACTGCAGTGCTTGAAGTGGAAATGGAGCTGGAACTTCTTCCAGAGGTGATGCTAGGTTCTGGCTCACATCTCAAAAGCAGTAGAGAATTATCTGAATCTAAAGAACCACATTGACAGAATTAAACAAAATAACACACATGAAGTCTCACAGAATTACAAAATTATGGTATTAGTGAGCATAATCATTGTCTTTGCTGTGATCCATCATGACGACTAAGGAAATCGGGGCTTACCAGAAAAAGAGCTTTCCTGAAGACTCGGATTATGGCTCTCCAAAGGCTGTGGCTGCATGTTGAATGTGTACCTGCCACGGTAGCAAGTTGAGGCAGAGAGAGCCACATTGTGGAAAAACTGACAGTGGTACAGCAGAGCCTGCAGTGCTGGAAGACCCACCAAAGACACACCGGATACCTCATCATGGACACAGGGCTGCTAATGGGGGGATTTGACATGAGTTGTACAGAAATAATAAAGTGAACAAACTTCACAGAGGCAAATGATGTCACTTAAATTTAAAAGCTGATATATATATTTGAATATATTATATATACAAACATAACATTTTCACATTTGCCATTTCCTAAGAGGTGACATTTGGTGCTTTCACCACAAAAGCATAAAAAAACTCAGTCCGTTGTTTTTTCACCTCACCACCAACTCGAGAACTTATATTCTCCCCATCTTTATAAATTGGTTCGCAGATACAGCTCACTTCCCAAGTACCTGCATCCTATCTTAGGATGCATTTGGAGTTTTGATTGAGAGCTTAATTAATCTGGGCATTAATTCTCTATGCGTGCACCGAAATCTAAATACACCTTTAATTCAGCAACATGCCTGATCTGAACTCAAAAGCAATTTTCTTTATAAACAAAAGTTCTGGAAAGGGTGAGAGAGCTGATCCAGATGGAGGAAAATAACAAGAAAGGGGGTAGAAAAAGTTCAGGGTCTGTATGAGGGTTTTTAACTGGCAGGCAGATCTGCTGACCTGCCAGTGGGAGTCCTTGGCCTCCTCTCCGTTGGCAGGCATAGGCATCACCAGCAAGTTCTGCAAGATAAACGCAGCCTGGACACACAAACCAATAGAGAAACACACACACACACACACACACACACACACACCGTCTGGGTTAAGGTGGACTGCTCCAGCAACAGTGCCATCTACCTGCCTTTATTTGGTAATGCAATTTTTAAAGCTCGAGTGGTCTTACTTATTAAAGGTACAAAGCATAAGTTACAATAATGTAAAATAAGAAACAAATAAAAAAAAAACTTGCATATTTTGGCTCATTGTGCATAGTTCTTTATTCCCCATGAAGTGATAAAACATAACAAGAGTTCTTTGATCATGAGGGACAGTTTTTTCACCGTACCTCTCTGCGAACCATGCTGCTCTCTTGTTGGTCCAAAAGGATGTTAAGCAGCGTGCCCCACAGACCTCCGCTGATGTTCTGACAGCTGGCAGACAGAGCCTGGCAGCCACTGGGCATGGAGGAGAGAGCAGCGCCTAAACTCAAACTGGCAAACCTCACCTGACAGAGGAAAAGGAAAAAAAAAACATCATATGCTTCAAATGTTAAATATAAAGTAATATACAGCAGCTCCTCCTAAGTAAATTGAATCATTTTAGCTTATTTTGTGTTTCTTATGAGTTTCATCATATCTGAAAATGTAAGAAATGCAGAATTAGTTTTCATGACGTGATAAAAAGTGAGTAACAGAGGCTGGTGAACAACCTTACCTCTTGATCTCGGTCCACCCAAAGCGGGACAAGCCAAGCCAAACCCAGCTGAGAGCCACTGACTTCCTCTGCGGTTCCATCGTTCCCGAATGACCACTGAGTTATGAAGTCCTAATGTTGGGAAACAGCCTTGAATTAACTGAAATGCCTCTTAAACTCTGTCAGAGCCGTTGCGAATAAAGAACTGTAGGTTTAACCGGAGTACTTTCAAAATCCCCCATGCTCCTAAAACTTAACATTTTGCCATAGTGGGATTTTATATAAAAGACAAAGCAAACATTTTTTGGCTGTGATTACAACTATTTGGAATATTTCTCTATAAGCTGTGCATTCTTTGCAGAAACGTTCAGTTCAGACAAGCCGGAGAGAACATCAACGGAGCTCTGGGTCCCTAAGCAAGACCCTTAACCCCACACTGCTCCCCAGGAACCACACAATGGCAGCCGACTACTCCCCAAGGGGATGGGTTAAATGCAGAGAGTGAATTTCCCCATAGTGAGACAATAAAAAGATTTACATTACATTAGATGTCATGAAGGCTGTGATAATAATCTATAACTGAATGCTGCTTTAAACTTCTTCACAGCCTCCTACCTGACTTATCCGTTGAATTCTTCCATCATCAACAAAGCAGTGATGTTTTTTTCCCCTAACTAATGTGACTTCTGATGGAAAGTTGCTGTTAATTTAGTGAGATTTCAAAGAGATTTCATCACAACACTCGCAGGTTTCTGGAAGATCACCGATTTCTGATCTTTAAAATGCCTCTGATTTAGCCCGATACAGATTTATTTATTTTTTCCTAACTGACAGTCATTTGTTTTAAGATCACAACACACCTTCAATATTTCAATCTTTTCTAACTTAAGAGCGTTAATCAGTATGAGAGAGACATTAAAAAAGTCTGCAATAACTGCCTTTGCAGAGGTACATAAGACCTTTGCAGAGGTAGATAAGATCGATGGAAAAGATCATTTTCACACCCAAGTATCGGCCGATTAGCAATCTCCTAAAATTAAGCAAATCAAGGCCGACTGGTCGGTGCATCCCTAAAACATACGCAATACTTTTCAGATTTTTATTTGAAAATTTTCCATCCAACTAATAACCATGTTGCATTTTGTGTTGGTCTATCACATAAAATATCTAAATAGATGGAAGTGTGTCGTTATAATGAGACAGAAATCAGTATATTCGCATTTCTTTATAACTTGCCTTATCCTTGTTCTCCGTCATCATCTCATGGGACAAGTGAAGCAAGCAAATAATGGCGTTCCTGGTCACACCTTTCCCCATGAAGGACAGGGAGTTCCCTCTCCACTCAACGTAAAAGGAAGAGATCACCTGTGTGAGTGACACAAAGATATCTTCCTAAAAACTAGGACATTATACAAAAAATATACCTATTTGACAGATTAAAATTTATTTATTTTTTGACCACACAAAGCAAATTTAATGGCCTCTGTTTACATTTAGCTGTTTCAATCAGCTCAAATGGTATGCTTGTTAAGTACTGCATCCAAACTAAACTTTAATACAGCTGAGAGACTAATTAGTTTGTTTTTGTGCACCATCAGTATGTGAGACAGCACAGAAGAGCAGATGAAGAGAGAAATGCCAAAGGCCGGCGGAGCTTTAGGACCCCATACTGCCAGCAAAGTCAGAGCAGAGGCCAGTCAGAGGATTAAAGAGGCATAGAACTGCTGTTCTGGACTTGGGTACATTTGAAACAAGACATGTAATCAGAATCAGAATCAGAATCGGGTTTATTGCCATTGTTAGTGAAGAAGTTCACAACTAGGAATTTTTTGTGGTACAGTCGTGCAACATGAAACATATATGAAATAGTAAATAAAATTATAAAAATCTCTAAAAACAATAGGGTATAAGGCATGCAAACCCTAGTGTTTTTAGAGATTTTTATAATTTATAATTTTCAATAATGTATATGTGGAATAATTTTTTCTTTATTATATTAGTATTAGAACAAAACAAAAACAAAAAGAGGTTTATGTGATGTGAAATATGCGATTTCACACATTTATGTGTTGCTTTGTTTTCAAGAGAACAACTACTTTTGACACCGATGTGCTGGTGATTGTTGTAAAAGCTAATATTCCCTCTGTTTTATGCACTGCTGAACAGATGGAAAAAGCAAGGGTGATTAATCTCATCAGCATCCTCACAGAATGGCATATCTGATCGCCGAGATTTTTATCAATTGCAATTCATGTCTCATAAGTGCACTTTGCTGAATTTTAAATAATTCTTTAGAAATTTCCATATTTTTGCATTTAAACGTTTCTGTAGGCACTTTAATATGTGGGGAAGCAGTAGGAGGTTGGCATAAACTCGAGTATATGAGCACACACAAAAATAAACTGAGGCTTTCGCACTCACCTCTAATAATCCGCTGAGATATTTGGAGCAGAGGGAGCTGGGCTCCAGGTCAGGGCAGTGGGAGCTCCAGCCAGGCTGGGCAGTGAGTCTGACCATGCCCTGCAGTGCCCTCTCCAGGCTGGGAAGGCCATAAAAACGCGGGGCATCAGACAACCGCAAGCTCTGAAGCAAGCGCAGTGCCAGCTGGCTCTTAAAGGGACCCACTAATGCCAAACATAGCCTGGACAGACAGGAGAGGAGACAGCGAGAAGTGAAACAAAGCAGACAGGCAGAGGGAAAAAAAAAAAACAGGAGACAGAGAAAAATTGGAAGGAAAATAAGAAATTGATGACAGCCAAGGTTTCCTTTTTTTCAGTTCTAACACATTAGGCAAACTCATGAGCATTCAGGGACGTGGTTTCTTGGCTCATTTTTCAAGCTTTCCCTTTTGGGTTTTCATTATTTTTAAAAGGAGTCCTTTGTTTTGTGTATAAATTCCTTCTTTTGGTGAAACAGTGACTTAAATAGAATAGAAATACCCGTATTATATGGGCAAAAACAAGTCCAAATAAAACGACTGACCTACACACTGACAAATAATCTGAATAAAAACATTAAGCTGTGCAGCCGAAGATCATTTCAGAACTTATCAGAAAGAAAAAAAAACACTGCAGTTATTAGTAGATAATAAGGCAGTTTTCAAGATATACAGAAGAAAAACAACAGTCTATTCACAGAACAATGTAAAATGATAACAAAAATAACTCTTAAGAGAAACTAGAAAAATATATATTGCAAATTTACATTAGTATCAGATTAAGAGCTTATTCATCTATGACAATGTAAACTCAGTTTTGCATTCTATGCCCCCTTTAAGCATCTACAATGCAGCTTTACGGCTCTCAAAGAGCTGAGCTCTGCAACAGCTCTATGTATGGGATGTTAGGCACTGTCCAACAGTGATTCTATCTTTCTTACTGTCCTTCTGTCTCCGGCCCCCTGCACTGTGTCTAAGGGGCATCCTAGGACAGAGCTAATTCCTCAGAGCACCTTATCCAACTGCTTCAGTTATGCTGCTATTTCAAACTAAACCATACAATGACCTTAAGCTAAATGATAACAGGTTTATGTTTGATACCAGCATACCTGTCAGTCGTATTTGACAGTCTGATCATTAGGGTGTTAAAGAAGTTGGTGAGCTCTCTCTGCAGTCTCTGGCTGACATGTTTCGTTACCTCCTCAGGATCGTCTAAGCTCTGTGTCTCCGCACCATGGAGCAAATGAAGAAGAGCAGCAGTCTCCTAAGAAACCAGTTAATAAACAAAAATAGATATTTCTGTATCCAACTCAAGTTCATTTACATAAATGTAAAGCTTACTAAAACATATTAGCAATGGCTTTATTAGTCTGTTTGCTTATAACTTAATGTGTTGAAATACACGATTGTTAGAAGATAATTATGCGGTTTGTCTCTAAATCTGCTTAAATTCAAGATAAATTGATCATAGTTCAAATGTAGAGAGGTCTTGTAGAGTCATAAATTTAGTCCAAGTTATTTTCTATCCATGGCTATGATGGCCGATGATCTTAAAGCATGACGAGCCTTCAGCTTTGCAAGGTCATTGGAATAAAGGTTTACCTGGCAGCAAAAATATCCAAAATTTCTCAACATATTAGAGTTTTACATAGGTCAAAAAAAATTAGATTTCTGTTGATGTTGAAATACAGAAAAAATTATCTAAATATTAATTCAAATATTAATCTTTGATCGTCTCAGACTTTCAATGTGAATCCTGAGTTTAATTCAGTGAGAAGTTCACACCAAACAGTCAGAAGAGTTATAATGGCTTATGTTATAGATTGCTTTGTATATATCTAGGGGCTTCATTGACACCTCAGGGAAACAGCTTTCAAAACAGATTGATGTTTTTAATAATTCTCTTAAACTTTTTCACGACAAGAGGCAGACATTCTCTTCCCAAATCTGTGGGTCCATCCAGATTCATCAAATCAGAGAGTGGAAATATTTTTCAATGGTTGCTGTAATAGGCGCCATTTGAATGAGGCTGGCAGTACGAAAGGATAGGTGAATGACACTGCTTGCTTTCCATCATAGTACATAGTCAGACCATTTTGGTAACAAACAAAAATACATTATTTCTTTAAACATACTGCATGCTACACATGCAAATGTGTGCACTTTCATTGGTTTTTGGTTTTATAACGAAGCTCTTCATTACATTTGTATAACTTACATTTTTTTGTCATTCTTTACAGGAAACAATACAGATTGAGGGCCTGCTTGGTTAGACAATGTCCACCTTATTCTACTAGCCCATCATCCAAAGGCATCACATGTAACTGATGGAGCCGCTAATCAAAAACTTACCACCCCTAATAACTTCTTTCCCCGCTGAAACCAGAAACAAGGAGCTGATGAGAATCTAAATAGAAAGAGGGCTGACCTCAGGTACAGCCCTGTCTTTAAGCTGCAGGCAGCTTTGGAGGGTCACAGAGATGGTGTCATCATTGGAAACCTCTGCTTCTCCTTCAAAGATAACATTTTAGGCTATTGTGGACTTAATTTTTGGGTTTCAGGATAATAGAAGAGCTCCAGGGTTATATTATATGTTTGTCTCTTATTAGTGTGATTAGAATGAGTTGATTTTGAAATTATCTTCAAAAAATTTTTTTTTAAGTTTGTCAAGTTATTAATAATTATAAAATGACTGACTGTTAATATGTTTGATTCTTGATTTTAAGGATTCCCAACTCCGATCAAATAGAAACTTAATACTTTTTAACCTATTTTAAAATTCATACATTTTGAGGAATAAACTGAGATCCTCCCTTCTGTTTATTTTATAGTGAAAAACAAAACAGCTAAAGGCTATTTGCCCTTCCGATCATTTTGATACATTCTAAGGCTAATTAGTTTAAAATCTTTGCTCAAAACGATGCATATTTAAGAAAAACCTTCTATTTATTCTATTAAAAAGAATAATAATTAATATGCTCTTGGCTGTCACATGGTGAAATTTCTTACTGATCAGTGAATGCTTTATGCAAGTGTATGAAGCGACAGATGTTCCTGAAACAGCTCAGTAATTACAGAAAAAGAGAAGAGAAGAGCGAAGCTAACCCCTACCAGGCATTAAATCTGAGTCTTCTTCAGCCACCGGGGAAGGACTTATTGTTTACACAAACATTAATAAGCAAACTAAAGTGAGACTGATTAAATAAAGAAAGCAGCTCTCCTTACTATAGCAGACGGCTTTTTCTAAATAAGAATCCTACGTTTTTGGTTTTTTTAGGAGCTCGGGAAATTATATATAATATGTCTAAGGGGAAAAGCTACATGGCTGATTTTCTGTTGTTATTAGACCATAATATGTTCAGGGGGTTTGACAATCTGTGTGATTTATTCGGGTTTGATTGTTGATATGAAAGCTCCTGCACTAAGGAGGATCATCATATAACTAGCTTATGGAGATGCTTTACTGAAACTGGTGAGCAGCCCCGTATTACAGACAAACACTAATAAGTGATGCTGTTAAGGTTCAGACTCTAATAGAAGAGAGGGTTAATTCACATTCATATTACTAAAGCCAATAATTTGCATTTCCAAACTACAGAATAACTCAAACAACATTGTGGACAAAATAATAGCATGGTGTTTGTTTGCATCATAAATCTAAGAAGAGATCAACACTGCTGCAGCAGGGATTTTTTTTTTCATCCACGTCCATAAAGTGTAAATGATCTGGACCTGGTTGAGAAGCAGCTCCAGTATCCAGCGCAGGTCGCGGTCCTCCTGGTCAGAGGTACGCTCTGTGGGAATTTGTTTGAAGTAGGCATTCAAAAATGTCACAATTCCCACCAGCAACCTTTCATCCTCAACACAGGCTGGACGCACCTGGAGAAACCTGCAGGGAGGGAGAGACAGCGAGTGTGACTGTCACGGCAAGAGAGACACAGGCGAAAGGCTTTTCACAAATTCAGTGCAGGTACTATGCAACCAATCTGCCTTTATTTTTTTGCTTGTTTATTTTGCTCTTTATGATGAAAAATCACAGCAAACAAGCTTTAACTGTAAAGAAAAACCCAAGAACTACAATGGAAAGACATAGAAGGGAGAGAAACACATAAATACAGGCTAATTAATCTCAACAATTCAATAAAGATTAATGATATAAAAGCAGTTACTGATGGTTTTATTAGCAATACCGACAGAAAGCAATGGTGAATAAAAAAAAAATAGGCTCTTTGGGGGTTTTGTTATACAAATAAAATTTTAAATAGTGCGGTGTGTTAAGTCCCATTTACTATGAGACTCACTATCACTGCTATAATACCGTCGTGCAATCTGTGTAAATTACTCTCAGATATTGTTCATATCATTGTTCAGTAAAGAACAAGATTTTTGATGGTAAAAATCAGAGACAAAACCTCTGAATTCCCACAAACTCTGACCAGCTTCTCTGGTAATGAAAAGTTGGCCCACAGCATGAGACTGCCACTAACATGTTTCACCATGGATATAGTGCACAGCTAAATGTTTCAGTCTACTCTGATCAGAACACATTCTTCAATATACTTACATTGTATACAGACCTGATGTTATTTTTTTCAAATTTTGAGAAAGATGTAACATTTGTAAAAAAAAAAAAAAAAACATTTTTGCAATTCTCTGTGTTGGTCTATCAAATAGAATAAAAGAAAAACTATAAGATTATTGTTTTAATGTTACCAAATGTAAACTTAAAGTTCATGGCTCTGAATATTTCGACAAAACAAGGTAAGGTGTCGTTGTTTGTATTAAGAAGCTCACTCTCTGCACTTGTGTAATATTACAAAATTATACATTTTAATTCTTTATATTTACATCTAGGTAATGAAAAAAAATACAGAACGACATAAAAAACGAAGCTAAGAAATAACCAAGCATTTATACATGTAAAAAATATAATTTAAACACCACTCAGTTAAAAAAATTGATTAAATTAAATATTATGACAAACTGCAAGCATAAAAAAAACAAAAATATTGTTAAAAGGTTCAATTACATACTACAAATAGGCTTATTTTGGAAACAAACTGGACTTTTGCACAGTGAATGTCTGGTTAACTTCCAATTAAAACCTGCTTTGTGGTTGCCATGACCCAGGTGACTGAGAATTTCAACAGGCATGTCGATTTACATAATTGTTATTTGAAAAGACAAGTTAATAAAGCAGGCTTTGGCAATACTCTATGCAACATAAAAATGCTTTTTTAATGTGTCAGCAGAATACCTGGTCAACACTGTCTGCCAACTGAGGGACTGAAGGATGTCTCTGCAGCTGTGGGTGGGAACATGAGGTAGAGCCAGACTGCTGAACAACAAGTAGAGGTTGAGCCTGGACAGAGCAGAGGCCACAGATTTGTGTCCCTCTGCCGTCACGATGGCTTGGATGCAGTCATGCAGCGCAGCTGGGAGGTGCATTGCCCTGAGCGACGAGATCTGTGACTCCGACAGCTTCAAGTCAGGGTGAAATCTGTTGGAGTCAAAATGTGAGCAGTCAAAAAATACATACCACCATATTTTAAAAGCAGGGATTTGCCATAGTCCTTAGAAGCAAACAAATGACTGGATAAACAATACACAGGGGCCATTAATGTACAGAAGATAGATTTACTTTCTAAGTGAGACAGATACATCCATGTCATACTTGTTGCTAGCAAGAAGCAGAGAAGAGGAGCAAACATTAACTAAAAACATAATTCTTTAGAGCAGCACGTGCGAATATTAAGATGAATCCATCTTAAGCAGCTGCTCTTCACTCAATCACAGCACCATGCAGCATCTCGGATGAATTCATCTACCAATGGCGTGTTTCGAACATCTTAGTCAAGCTGGTTAAAACTGTAGAGAGACGCTCTCATTTGTTTAAATTAGGTCACATTAGGGCTAAATGAAGACGGATGAACACAATATGCCACAACTCTGGTGCTGATACGCTGCTGAACTTCACACTGGATGTGTTGTTCAAGGGTGATACAATGCAGGCTCTTTGTTTGCATGAAAATCCTGTTATGGTTTCTGCTCTGATCCTGTAAACCAACATCTGCTTAACGTTCCTTCTTCAAACTAAATATATTGGAAATGTTAGCCGCTAAATAAACACTGAAAATGACCACATTACCGACAAAAATTAAACATTTCCTAACTGCATGGAACAAGTTGGAATTAATAAGAGCCTTACTGAGAATCACCAGCAACACTGTGCACTTTCTCCAGGACATTATCTATCCCAGAATGCCATGCAGCATTCCAGGCCACCTGCAAGGCTTGGCGGATGGAGCTTAGGGTGAGAAGGTCAGAAGAAGGAGCCAAGATGCAGCAGTACGGGCTGACGGCGTGATGAGTCGCTGCTTGGAAGGGAATGTTGTATCTTTAGGAAACAAAAGAAAACATTAAAAAAAAACTGCAGCTGATGTTTGCTAATCAGATGTTTCCATGAGGCAGGTAAAGCTGATTTTCTTTTTGACTTGCCGTACCTCCTAACTGCTGCAACCGGTAGAGAAAATGGTGAGAGAGATGCATCTTTGGTGGATTTCTCTGACCTGATGAGAAAAATCCCTAAAATGTTTATAACTAGGCTAAACAGTCGCGAAGGTTGAAAAGTTACCAAGTAACAAATAATAAACCTGTAAAACAAAACGATCATGAAATGTTCATTATGTGCCAAACTATTTAAAGCAAGCTTAAGTAACATAAATCTATAGTAGATAGCTTTAATGTAAGAACAAGTCCTTGCTGGTTTGTAGTATGAAAACATAAACCAACCAGGTCTCGATGCTGGCGATCTCATCAAAAAGCAGCAAACACATTAGGACGGCCGTTTCGGTTCCATTGCCTTTTATTTCCTTCAAAATCAACGATGCTGCAGGGAAGAATCAACATTCGTAAAAGAAACTATGGTAATGTATGCCTTTCTTTAAAGCCATGTATCTAAAACCCATATTATACCTTCAGACTTAAAGCTGAAGTTTGAAATAATCAAGTCTAGCAAGCATAGTAACCTTCTAAATCTTTAGCTCAAATTCCGTGATGAAAGCCATTTTTTTTTCTATACAAGACTAAAAATAATTCCAAATTAAGGAACAATTTTCAACCTGTATCTAAATTTTTGCCATTTAACAAAGAGTAACGAAAAACTGAGCTGTAAATTATGCTATACAAGAGTTTGAGCTGTATTGCATTTTACCAACTCCTATTAAAAATAAGCTGTTGCCACCATCAAGGCTAAAAAAATAAATAAAAAAAACATATCAAGTTGCATCATAGAAATATACTTGTGCTTTGTATTATACGCCACTTAAAAGCAGCACGGCATGTTTAAAACAAACTTAAAGTGGACATCTTGGGATTTTGTCAATGAGTCGCCTGACAGGGAGTGTATAAATGATACTAAATGAGATGTGTTGTTGTGCTTACCCCTGAGAAGTGTGAGGAGCAGGAGGTTGTTTTGCGCCAGGCTGTGCCTCAGAGACGAATCAGCGTACACCAGCTTTCTCAAGATGCATGCACACGGCTCCAGAAGAAGATCAAAGCTCTGGGGAGCAAGACGTTATAAGCACGGGGCTCCAAACACATGATCACACTACGAAGCAGCAACACATAAATGTAGGCTGACTCTTTTGAGGTAAAACACAATTTACTGACTGGTTCATCTCCTGTATACACCATTTTTATTTTATTTTATTTTAGCTATGTTTCTGTCGTCCTGATTTGCTCTCCTCGATGTGGACAGACTTGTTGGATGATCACCGCAAGCACTTTCTGGTTCCAGGACTGGAAATGATCAGCGAACTGAAGTAATTTCAGGCTGAGGGCAGAAATCACTGCTGAGCAGAGCCTGTCTGACACTATTAACATAGGTCACTTCATTCCCCAATCATCAACGCATCACTGGCTTTAGTAAACACACTTGCATAAAGCAGATATATATGCAAAACATATGTACAGCAAAAATATATGTACACATTTATTGTTTTATTTAGCTTGAGTAAAATAGTTTAATCAATTATTGTCTTTCTCACTAAAAGTGTCATTTTTTTTTACCTTGTTGCCATTTACACTGTCTGTGATGAAAGAAATAACTTTCTCTGCGATGCCTAGGTTCTTCAGTACGGAGTGAACTACTGTGTCTGTGGGAGAGAAAAGAGCTCAACGTTACACCAACAAACATTTGCTTAGATTTTGTGTTTGCCTAAACAGGGTGCAGTGGGAAGGAAGAAATGCAGCTGCAGCATCTGCCAATTGTAGTTTTCACAAGAGGAAAGCGCAGTCATCAAACTTTAAAACTTTGCTTCTCAATTTATAATGAGATAAAAAATTCACACTGAACAAAGAAAAAAAAGATCACTGGTAAGAAAATTCAGCTTGCATGAGGTAAAAAAAAAAGAGACCATGTGGGACAGCTGACAGTATTCAAGCATTTAATTCAAACAGTATTTTTTTATTTAAATGATTAACACAGAAGATTTTAGAGGCTCCTCACCTTGCAGAACCACAGAAAGTTGCTCTGCTGCTGATCTTCTGATAGAGAGGTCTACAGTGTCTGAGCTCAGGATGCAAAACAGCTTCTCCACTGCCTCCACCTAGCAAAATAAATTAATTAATATATCTAGAGGTGCTATTGTTTTGTCATTTTCTGTGTGGTTTTGTACCTTTAGGATGGACTTATAGCTGGTGTCCAGTGTGACGTCTACAGGGTTTCTGAGGCAGAAGAGGTTGGGAAGGGACGTCATCAGAGATTGATCTGCGTCTGGTCTAGTGGGGTTGTCCTCAGCACTGCTGGTGAGGTGGGGCAGGATGTGTTGCACTGCAGCTATTCTGACACTGTTGATTTTAAATAGAAGGAGACTTACGACAAATATTTAAGGTAAACACATCAATGTTTTGCAACAACACAGCTTTAACTGTAAGAATAAAAATTTAAATGACATAACAGGTTTTGTAGATTTAAAATCTAGCAGTAGAGATAAATAGACTTCACCAGTACTAGTTACCATAGTTACCATTAGTTACCTTGTCTCTGCCTTTCTAAACTTGTCCAATTTGTGTCATGTTAGGGCTGCAAGCTTCAGTTTGTTATATTGTTAATTTTATTTGATGCGCCAAAAACAACATTAAGTATTGCACTATTGTAAAGTAGTAGGAAAATAATAATTTTTTTATGTGCAAGAAAAATAGTGCCATTTTTTTTTTTTTTTTACCGAGCATATTTTCTCTGATACTTCTAATAAATTTCAAAAAAAGAAGCTGTTGCACATCCAGTTAGATTTTAAGGTAAACATCGCTGTCTAATATTTAATCATTGTTCAGAACAACATCATGTTGTTTATCAACCAATCACAGTAACACTGTGATTGGTTGATAAACAACCAACTACACATTCACTTTATTCACTCGTGTAAAGTCGGACACCACTCAGCAGAATTCAGAAATGCAACGTTTGGAACAGCCTTTTCCCTACGACTTTAAATGATTTGATCAAGGTAAGATAAAAACTTTCACTTGAGTTTTGGAGGAGCACTGAGTCTGAGCAAACCAATTAAAAATTTTTCAGTTCCTAAATCGATGATCACTTCAATGACAAGCTAATCATGATTCCCATTAACTGTTAAGTCCTAATGGAAACTACTCCAGCAAACATACAATGACACACCCATCCGTTTGAACAGATAGATATAAAAGGAGAGCATTATTTAGAGAAGCTGCCTAGAAGCCAAAGATAACCTTTGAGGAGCTGCAGACATCCACAGCTCAGGTGACAGAATCTGTCTGCAGGAATTGTAGCAACGCAGCAACACTAAGGCAGCAACCCATTTAAGAGGCTCAGCAAACATGGAGGAAGATGCTTTGTAAATGTTCTTTTTCTGACACAATAATGGCTGTGCAGTATTACAAAACCTTGCAACAGCGAGACAGCTAATAAGTGTTATAAGCTTGCAAGACAAAAACCCTTATAATAGCCCAGAAATGTGCACTCTAATCAGCCCTTTCCAAATATTAGAATATAGAAAATATCAGAAAGCTGCCACGTATTGAGCAGTCTTAGGCAGGATGAAAAGTAGGGAGGTCAAGCAAAAACATTCTCAAAGCAAGTTAATTACAACAACTTAATGTTTCCAGCTTTGCCAGATGTGTTTTGGCTTTTTTGGCAAACAAGAATATTTGAGACGAAAAAAAAAAAAAGAAAAAAAATCTAACGGAAAGAAAAACAAAAAACATACCAGACAAATAGCATGTGCATCATACACATTGATAAAAAAAAAAAAAGAAAAACAAGACAATACACACCTACACATGTCGGAGCACCTAACAATCAAACCGGCTCCGACAATGGGAAGACCCAGAGCTCCGACTTACGTGGGCTGTTTAGAGAAGAGGAGACGGAGCGCCGCTTTCAGCTTGCCTGTAGTCGGGAACACGTTGTCTCTTGTCACATCCGACATGTCACTTATCAGCAGGACAGCCTTTCCAAGTGACTCCTCAGTGCTGGCATAGCCCTGCCATGTAGCCGCACAAACACACACACAATTGTCAGACTGTGTTGGAAGACAAAGCAGTAAACAACAGGGAATTCCTGCTAACCAGTGAAACAGTAAATAAAATCTGCATCACTTTGATTAGGGGGGGGTTTCATTTCATCTCTTGTTGACATAGAGGGCCCAACTTGTATTGGCCTGTTTGAATTAAATCACATTTGACAGCCTAGTCAAACTCTCGTGTATATTCATGCAGAGTGTTCTGGCTCCCTGTTGCCTGAAACCGAGCAATTAATGAAAGTTTGTTTCTGCCACCCAAAAAAGGAAACAACATAGCATCCAATACATAAACCAGAGAAAAATAATGTTTTCCTTCACATGCAGCACAATAAGCAGCCTTTGTGAGCAGAGAATATTAATATTTCTTTACTTAAAATACATTCCTCAACACTGTACTGCCTCATCTCTCTGTTATTATAGTGCCATGAGTTCCAAACAGGAGGGCTGGTTTAAGAGCCCAGCAGTGAAATTACTTTGTAATCTCCACAAAGTGAACAACACCTGTAATATGGGTATGACCGGGTAAAGTGCCTCATTGAATCTGTCCCAGGCTGGCGCTGTCATCATTAATCGTCCCTTGAGGAGGAAGAGCAGGATATCCTTGGCAGCAATATTCACCTATAGATCAGAAGTAAAGAGCTGAGTTCACAAAGCAAAGCCAAGTCAAACAGCTGCTACAGAGTAAAGGGACTTAATTAGCCACATGAATGCTGCCTGTCAGAGGTACTTATACCTACATTTACACATTTTTGTCAAGTTACAGCTACAATACTGAATAATTTGACCTTTTATACCAACACAAAATATTGTATATTAGTGAATAGGAAGGAAAGGAAACATGGATTTGAAAAAAATGTGGCAAACAATTCATAAATCTGGACTTTATAAAAGACAGAAGAGAAGAAAGTTGAAATCTTCCACAAGTATTATATATATACATATAATTAAAAAAAACTATGTGTGGTGGAAAACTAATGCTGTCCATGGTTTTAAACTCATCATCCTCAGTTTGAAAGATGGCGGAGGAAACGCCATCCTTCGGGATGCTCTTCAGGAACAGAGCAGTGCCGTCAGGGACAGGTCAGCACTGATGGGAAGATGAGTTTATTGGGTGGTCCTAGAAGGAAAGATGCTGCTCAAACATGCGACAGGGGTGGATGTTGACCTTCCAGAAGGGAAGCAATGCTTTGGGTAATTTTGTTCTTGAACTAAATAAATAAATAATATTGTAGCTTCACATTTGACCGAAAAGAGCAGCGTTCTGCTTCATTGGCACAGAACATCAATTTCAGGAAACTTCGAACAAATGGGTTTTTCTGCCTTTTATTGAAAGCAGTTTCTATATAAGAATCAGTCCTTCGGAAAAATGTAGTAGAACTTGTTCTGCGGTTGGAAACAAGCCAATTACAAGGATTCTCATATATTCCAGCGTTTGTTTGTTTTTTCCTTTATGTTTCCAGTTAGACTAGAGGTTAAACAAAATTTTTGAGATCCCTGATATTAGCTTTACACCACAGTTCTGATAATTACAGGGGCTGATGTGAAAACACAGAGCTTACAGTAAAACACGTCACAAAACACTAATGCTAAATCCACACCACACAGGATGGAATTTGAGCAGCAGAAGCATCTGGTTTACAAGCAAATCTTTGGTTGACGCGCATCGGAAGGTCCTGCAGCACGTCTCGAACAGCTGGAGCAGCGCCTCATGAGCTTCTAAGTATCTGAGGTAAAAGATGAGCTTCACAAGCAGCAGATGCTGGATTTAACTTTTACTGCTCAATGTGCACCATCAACCAATCAGAAACGCTGATCAGGGAGCTGGCAGAGAGACAGACACAGTACTGCTGATGCAGAGCACTCTGATCACTCCCCTGAAACTTTTTGTTAACGCCTAAATTAACTTAAAATGTTGAAACCTGTGAGCAAAACATGTTTGGTTTTATTAATCTGGTGCTTACAGTTTGTACCACATTCACCAATGGGGGAAAAAACCTCAAGAGGCAACGGGCCTGAGGCAGCTGCTGCTGGGGATTCCCAGTGACAGCGCACCACCAGTATGTGGGGGTCTGAGCAGCCCCGACAGCGTAATAATATTTGAAGGCAGGATCCTATTCTTTATGAACTGACTGCACAGGCGATGTTTTGAGGTGTAAGCCACTAATCATAGTAAATATAAGAAAGCCACTCCTTGCCATTGAATAGAGGAGCAGCACAAGAATCAGATGCATCTGTACGCACTTTACTGGACATGTTTCAGGTGTGTACACCTTAATGTGTACGCACATAAAAAAAATGAAACAGCAGATGCTATTTTTTGCTGCTGAAATTGCATTTGATGTGAACATAGCATAGCGTATCTGAATGCAGCTTTGCAGTAGCTTTTATTTAGTTATTCAATCCCATATGACTATGTGATTAAGGCCCTCTAGTGGCCTGCTATTCTTACGTTTTTAGATGGGCATTTGTAGCATTTTTCTCCCGTTTTCTGTATTTGCAGCATATTTGATATGCTTAATTTTTTCTCTTTTTAGCATTATATTTTTGAATTTGCATCATTCCTGTGTTTGCAGCACGTTTGCAAATGTTAGACAATATTTCAAGAATGAACTCAGGTTTTTAAAAATGTTTTCAACAAAGTACAGTTTTTTAAAACACAGAAATATCTTTATAAAAATGTTTATAGATCACCCCCCCAAACTTAACTTTAGTTTTCTAAGTCTAAGTTTTTTACTTGAGATTTTTGTGCCAGATTGTGCTGAAATATCACATAATTTCATAAGCATGTGGTGGAAATATGACAAGATGTGGAAAAGCTTAAGGGGTATAAATACTTGCGCTAGGCACTGCACACAACAAACTGAATAAAAACCATAAAAGCTTTGACATATCGACATATTTAAGATACAAACACTCAGAACAAAATAGGTCCAGATACCCTTTCTGCAGAGTCTTGCAGTCCAAAAGCACTCATTTCATACAGGACCCTGCGGTGGAGAAGGAAGTTAACACCCTCGCATGCTGCTGCTTCCTGTCTCAACAGATTCTGGATGCCAAGACAGTCCTAGGGGTAAATGTAATCACATCATAAATTATCACCATCCTCTCACTTTTGCACGTAATCATGAAATACAATTCACTCTCAATTCTAGACTGATTGGTAAAATGAAAAGAGAGGTTGATTCAAAATGTCAAGCAGGATTTTTATAGCATGCTGTCCAAGAGCTGTAACTCATTTGTCTCCATTTTCCTTAGTTAGATTTTAAAGAACCACACGACAGCTTCCTTTTTTAGGCAACAAAAGGCTGGTGTGCTTCAGCCGTGACCTTTAGCGCTCATTTAAACAACAGCAACCTATAAAGCATCATGTTCTAACCTTGACCAGGTTTAAAGCACACTCATATGTTTCCGTTTTGACAGGCGGTGAGGGATGCGACAGCAGCTTGAGGAAGAGTTTCTGGCTCTCGGATTGGAGGAGGGGGCTGGGCTGATCAAACTTCCACCTCATAAAGGAAAGGTAAAGGATTTTAAAGTTTATACAAAGTTGGAATGATTTAAAAATGTAGAGGTCAGGCTCTGGTCTTACAAGTGAGAGCACATGTGAACACATTCCTTGATGATGGGTAGGTGCTGATGAAAAGGAAGCCCATCTATGGTTTGGTCTGCAAGTTCCAGAAGGTCCAACCAGTTCTTCTCCCCCTGCAGAAAGAAACAAAAGGTTGATTAAAGACTTAATAAATTCCTCTATAGTTGCAAGTATTTTTTTTCTATAAAAACGAATATTATCTTCAGCTCATACATCAGCTTGTGCTTCCTTTATGAAGTTACAAGTGGACTCCATCCAAAGCGCAGCTCTGTTCATCCTCCTGTAGAGGCTGTGGCCGTCTGAGTTTACTTGCTCCAAGTAGGCCACAGCCGTCTCCTGCATGCTGGGAAATAAACTTCCCAGTGATGAGTCCACGCTTAAGTGGAAAAGTGCCGTTGCTGTGTTTTCCGGGAGATTTTCACTGGCCTGTTAACGTTTTAGGAAAACAATAACTTTTAGATTAGAAGTGCAACAAACTGATGATTTGGTTGCAAAAAACAGATATTTTACCAAACATAAAACTATGCCTTCTTCTTTCTCCTACATTTAAACAAATTACAATTCACCAACTCACAGGCATTTTATTAGAATGCTATGCAATAGGTCAGCACAAAATATTGAAAGAAATTCATGGTCAAATGAATTTAGGTCTGGACTTTGAATAGGCCACCCTACCACATGCTGGGATTCGAATAGAATACTTTAGTTGCAGCTCAGGCTGTATGTTTTAGGTCACTTTGAAGAGGAGCCTCTTTCACAAACTTAAGCATCTAAAGATTTAACTCTGTATTTATTTTCATCCATATTCAAGAGAGTCTGGCTGCAGACCTGCACTGTCAGGACGAGAAGTTAATTCCAGAAGTTGTATTCGAAGCCTTCGGGAACAGCACACAACACCTGTTTGCTGCCAGATTAGAGTTTATGAGAGTGTTAAACTGAGTATAGGAGCAGTTTAAATTATGCTGTAAGCAAAAATCCTCATAAGACAGCCCATTGTCGTTTAAAAAATGTCTTAAAGACTGAATGCCCTTTTTCATCCAGCGATTCAAATACAGAGACTTATTTCTATGTAGCACATATCTATTATTCGAGAAAGGAGTTTGATGGGGAGTAAAATTATGCGCGTATATAAGTTCCCAGCATAGCAACACTTGATTGTGAAGAAGGGGTGTTTATTGACTCTAGCTTTTACTTTAGAAGGGCTTAGAATCAACTTTGATTTTACTTTGAAAGTCTTTGAATAAACTTCCGGTTCTAACAGCACAGGAGACCTTGCAGTGCAGCTCTAGGTCCTGACGGTGCAGGTATGCAGCCAGACCCCTCTCTCCAGTACTAACCAGCTCCTATGTCCCCCCACCATGATGCTTTCACCACCATGTTTTCACGCAGGAACTGCACACTGACGATGCTTGATATTCATTTTTGGCCAAATATTTGCCAAAAACCTATTTTTCTTTGTCTATTCTCAAAAGAGCAACTTTGATTTCACATATTTATTTTGTCTCTCAACATGACCTGTAACAAACTTTAGTGGCAGTTATTATATCTATATTCCAAATATGGCTTCCTTATTTTCAGTCGTCCAACAAAGCCACATTTTTGGAGAGCTAATAGTGATAATAAACTGTCAACTAACTAAACTAAAATGGTTCTAAGTCTGTAGGCTCTTTTACAGTAACCATCAGCTTCTTGTCTGCTTTTTTCTGATCAGATTCAACTCTGAAGGAAGCAAGTTGCACTGAATTGTGTTATGTATCAAAATAAAAGGAAGTGGATTGAGAAATAAGCAATATTTTTAAGATTGTTTATTTTAATACAATTAATAAACCATCTTTCATTTTCTACCCACCTTAAATAAATAATTAATTTAGTAATGAATCATTTCATGATGATCTATTATATAGTTCAATTAAACTACTTTGAAATGTGAAGTTGAGACATTATTATAAATGCTTGGCTGCTAGCAAATTATGACACACACACCTTCTCAGGAGGGAGGATGGTCTGTAGGAGTTTAATGGTGAATATGGCAGTCCCTATATAGGCCATTCTGTGGTAAACCTGGGAACTGTCAGGATCATCGGCTGAATGGTTTTGATGTAAATAGAGTATATCCCCAAGTTGCTCCATACAGGCTTGCAGCTTCTCCTTCTATAATAAGCACACAGAGAAATGTGAACCAAAACATAAACAGACAGAAAAGTACATAAAAGCACACATGGAACAAACACACACCAACGCATAGAAGCGTTCTCAATCTGAGCACATTTTCTCTGAGTCAAACAGAGCTGTTGGCTGAGAGCCATGAGGAAAAAAAATTTTCATTCCAGGGGTTGAGGAATTGAATTTAATCAGATTTCAGGGTTATTTCGGGACAAGATAGAGATCCACCCTATCTCAGTATGAATAAATTGGAACAATCTATTCTCAGTCACTTTGTTCTGGATGCAGACATAGAACAATAGAGTAGATACACCAGCAGGGGGCAGTACATGTCCTGTGCATCGCTCAGTTCAGTTCAATCCCACAGGAAAACGAAGGGGTCTGGCAAACAAAAGCTGCTCGCCACATAAAGATAACAAAATAGTTCTTAGGTTGCACGACTCTGAGCATGTATTAAACAGCAGAGGGCTGCAGGGGCCCCCGGCTTGACAAGTGCATAAATCCCACTGCAGAGAACATATTCTAAAAGCTGCCAGGGAATATAATAAATAATCCTGAGCGGTTAAAAGGCGCAAACCTATTTAACACGATCTATTGTCTTAACTTAACATACATAATGAATGAAGACATGTATTAACACAGCAGTTATGATGTTTGATTAACCCAGGGCCTGCAGACAATACGTTTGAATATAGGTGTACATAGCTCTTTGCAACGGAGGTATAATTCATTCAGCTCACTCTCATGCGTAAAGTTCTCCTTGACAGTTGAACACCGTATGCTTGTGTGTCTGTGACAAACTGTCTGGTGGCCAAGCCAGCTCCCCATTTCAGTGAAGTGTATCCATTCATCTACATAAGAGGCTGTCATGAGTTGTGTTGACTTGCCAGCTCCATCCCCACCAGGCTGCGATCGTCCCAGACCAGCTCGCAAACACTATCCCTGAGCAGGAGGAGAGCATCACACAACAGCTCCAGAACACGGTGGAACACATGCAAACCGTCTGAGAGGAAGAGAGAAGCAGAACAAAAGCAGAGGAAGGTGGGGCTTTTTTTTTTTTTTTTTTTTTTTTTAGACAAGATCAAATAACACAAAATAGAATCTAGTTGATGTAGGGAAGCAGAACTGGGGATATTTACACTATTTCAAGTTTTTTCAAGCAGAGAAGAAAGAAAATGAATAAATTAAATAATAGACTCCCACCTGTCTTCAGCAGTGGTATGGCATGCTGCATGGTGGCAACAGAAAACTGGGCCAAGTTGAGCTGCTGTAACTGAAGCTCCAGTACATCTTCCATGCTCAGGTCCGGAAGCTGCAGCTGAGCCGCATCAGCAGGGGAGCGGGGCGTCTGTTCGGGGCCCTGGACTGTTGCCCCACCTCTGTGCGAGCTGCTATTGGATGAATCACAGACATAATCTTTAACATCCCTTTGGATCTCCCAGTTAGAGACCTACTAATGAACAGATCGTGCAACAGAATGTGCCTATGTGTGCCCCATCCACATCAAGGGGACGGCGGTGGAGCGTGTGGACAGCTTCAAGTTCCTGGGTGTCCACATCTCTGAGGACCTGACCTGGACGACCAGCTGCTCCAAACTCATCAAGAAGGCCCACCAGCGCCTCTTCTTCATGAGGACCCTGCGGAAGAACCATCTGTCCACAGAGATCCTCACGAACTTCTACCGCTGCACCATCGAGAGCATCCTCACCAACTGTATCACAGTTTGGTATGGGAACTGCTCTGCCTCGGACCGGAAGGCGCTGCAGAGGGTGGTGAAAACCGCCCAGCGCATCGCCGGGGCACCGCTTCCTGCCATCCAGGACATCTACAGGAAGCGGTGTCTGAAAAGGGCCGGGAAAATCAGCAAGGACCCCACTCACCCTGCACACAGACTATTCTCTCTCCTGCCCTCTGGGAGGCGTTACAGAAGCATACGGACTAAAACCACCAGGCACCGGAACAGCTTCTTCCCCACAGCTGTCACGCTTCTGAACGCCTCATGACACGAACTATAAGGACTGTACTCCCATCCCCCTACACAACAATAACCATGGACGCTCCTCACACATACCACAAACTGCTTCCTCACACGCATTCACAATCCATGTATATAATATGTCAACTTGTACCATACATTATAACCCCACTAATATATATATTTATATGATCCAGGTAACATCTCTGTATAGTTGTATACATGTATATAGTGTCTATATTCATTTACAGCCTCAATCACTGTTAATGCTGTTATACTGTTTATACATACATTTTATAGTCTATTTATACATACCCTCTGTACACTTGTAATGCATATTTATATCCTGTATAGCACTTCTGGATAGATGCTAACTGCATTTCGTTGCTTGTACTTGTGACAGTGCAATGACAATAAAGTTGAATTCTATTCTATTCTATTCTAATTGGAATGAAAACACACTCTTACAGGTATTCTGATAAAGAGCCCCAGGTGAGGTAAAGATCCCCTGGTAGAGTAGTAATAATATCAGATAACCAAAAACCTGATCATTCAGAGTTCCCAGGATAAGAACTAAAAGCAGAATCATGAGTGTGTTTTCTCCTCAGTCTGGAACCAGCTGCATAACGGCGGAGATGTGCAGAAAATGGATCCTTTAAATCTAGACTGTTTAGCTGAACTTGCCCAGAAACACTCGGACAGGTCTTTTATTTTTTTCCCCCTCATTTGTTTGAAATAAAAAAATTATTTATTTTATTTTTTTGTGATTTGACATTGTTTTTAATAGTATTTTTAAAAATATTCCTTTTAATCTGAGTTTGTCTAATTTTCTGTAAAGTGTTTTGAATTACCATGGTTACTACTAGAGCTATACAAACTAAGTTTCCTAACGCTGTGGTTGAAACACCCTTTAGACAAGATTTCTAGTGCAAAAGAAACATACTGAAATGCATTTCCAAAAAAAAAAATCATTTACAAAAATAATTAACAAAAGCAGATATGCAAAGACAGTTTTATCATTGTTTTAAACTGCAAGCTTGCCTATAGTTGTCTATGACCATGTACACACACACACACACCTGTTAGAGGCTGCATCTCCGTCCTGACCGTCTCCCCGGGCTCGTTGGGATGAACGCCCCACCACTGAGGGCCGAGGAGAGAGCTCAGCCGCAGGAGAGGAGGCCTGTGAACGCCGGTTCCCCCGAACCTCCTGGGCGTAAGAGAACGACGAGTTCTGCGACAGCGGATCTAAACCGGAAATTAGATATTGGTTTGCTATCAGCTTTTTATGTAAATGCTAAGCAGGGAGAAATAATAATATAAAACACATCACTAAATCAATTCAAAGATTAAACAAGATCAATATTTTTATATGAATTACACATTTGTATTTCCCACACAAAGATAAAGCAAACCATCAAGTCATACATGTGCATACAATCACTTAAAACCTAAAATATGTGATATTGACGACTCTAAAATATCTTAACCTAACAAGCTAAAGCCATTTTCTCCCTGTTATCAATTATTATTGAATGTTTGTTTTGTTTTTTTTAAGCATTAAAAATATTTGCTTTTCCAGCAATAATAACAAATGCTGCTTACACCCATACTCTGTCAACAGTAACGTTAGGATTAAACGTGCCCTGGATTGAGAGCAACTCCATCAAGAATCAAGCACAGAAGCAACAGTTAGACCTTTTAGGCATGATTGAAATGTGCAGCTACCCACAATAATAACCTCAAATCCCTACTGAAGAAAATGTTTACAGTCAGTTAAGACAAAAATAATGTTATTTAGATTAATTGATTAGACGCATGTTTAAAAGAGACAACTTTAACCCAAATATATAGCTACGTGCTTCAAACTACAGGCGTTTCAAGATAATGACTGTAATAACTGGTAGTATAATGTATACAGCAGACTTTGATCACATTTTTCACTTTACTGAAATGGCATCTCTGTACCAGGAAATCCGGCCCCATTTAAACAAACAATTCTCCCACAAAGAAAGGTAAAAATGCCAGCCGGAAATGTGCCAGAAGTTTGCTGATGTCAACAAACACCAGCTGACGTTGGTAAAACGTGCAAAGTTACCTTTACTCTCAACATAAAAGGGTGAATAAATTTAAGTAAATTCAAAAATACTTTATTAATCCCAAAGGGAAATTAAATAAAAATAATCAATTAAGCTTTTATTAATATAATTTGGACTATATAATAAATAAAAATGGCATTAATAATTCCCTCTTTTAAATAAACATTGAAGATGTAGCTTGTGTTTTGTTCAACAAGGACAAATAATTCAGAGCCCAACTATAATTTAAGAGAACATGTAACCTCCTGAATAAACTCTTCTTTCACCAGTGTAAAATATAACAAAACCTCCATGTTATGAATGCGGAAGCTTTTTTTTTGTTTTAATGTCTTAATTAAAGCACAAAGAGATTGGTTTATATATAAAACCCGTTCATAAAGCATTTTACCCTGCTTTGCTGAGTAGAAACCTGGATCCTGATGAAAGCGCAGCCTCCTCTGCAGTCCCACGCAAAGCTGCCGCAGGCAGGACAGGGCAGATGAGCGGAGGTAGCCGACCTCTCCTTTACCTGAACCCAGCCTGAGCAGCAGTAAAAGGTTCTAAAACAAAAAATTTAAAAAATTTGTTGTCATCATACTTTACAGCTGGGTAACAGATAAATAAAGTCTAATCTATTAGTTCACCAATCTGATGTTTGATTCATCCATGGAGCATTATTGTACACCTTTAAAATAAATGCTAGACCCAGACAATGAGAAAGACCACGTAGGAATCAATAGGCAAAAAGGGCAACTGCAATTGAATTACTAAGGTAGTCATTTATCCATAGTTCTAATTTCCTGGGCTTTGGTTCTAATGAAGACATGTTTCTACTTTGAAGTCATTCTTTTTATTTAACTAAACTAAGAACTCAACAGGAGGGGAACTAAAGCAACATGAAGAAGAGGACTTTCCAGCTCTGATTCCTTCTAAACATGAGGCTGCCGGGTGACAGTGTGTTAATGCCGCCCTGAGGCCGCTGTAATTTTAAGCCCCACTTTATTAACCAAATTGCGATGCTGATATAGTTGCTCAATGGGGCAAAATTATGTTTTCTCAAACACTCAGACAGAGCCACTTTGATGCTTTCAAGGCTGCAATTAATTCTTCTCAGCATGTCAAAATAAACTCCTCTAATCCCGAGAGGAATAAATAGACAGGGATCTGTAAATGTAGAAACGATGAAACAATGCCAGCATCCTGTGTAGAAATGTTTGGAATAGAACTGAAGATCAGGGCCCATTCAAAGTGTGAACGACTGTTTCTTGATATAAGTAAAGAGAGAGAAAGTCCCAGCAGCCCCGAATTCCACACCTTCTAAGAGGTACATAGTAGCCAAGCTGTATCCTCACAGCAATCTTTTACCCACTAAAATAAAAAGAGAGAGAAGCCTCAAGAGAACTACAACTCAACAAGCTTCAACTGGATCAAGGACACCGTATTCATAACTGATGTTTTCCATATGAAAGTAGTTTTGTTGTTTGTTTTTAACAGTGGAGCGACTGGACAGAAATGGTCCATCTATCATCTCTTCACCAAACTTATATCTTTTGATGAGGGCAAAGACGAGCACTATATATGTAGAAAAAGAAAACATGGTTGTTTTAAGTAGACCATTCTTTAAGGTATCTAAGAGCAATGCGTGTTTTTATAGTGACATAAAATGATATACATATGATTTTATAACACAACCAGCTCCTATTTATTTAACCACTTGTTATCTTCATCAGCTTCCCTGCTAAAGGAAGAGCGATCCCCGTCCATGCCGCCGCTGCCACCACTATGTTTTTAACCCAGAAACGCTTTTCTTTTACAATTATTAAGACGGTTTATGTTCTGTTCCAGAAAACATAGTTTTAAACATCATCATACCTATTTTTTTGGAGAATTTAACATATTTTGATAGAATATGTATGATCTTCATTCTTTTAATTATTAGAAGTAATGAGGAGGAAAGTCGTTTTTAGAAACACAAAATGTGTTTCTTTCCTATTCTAACTATCTACTTTATATTTTTGTTGGTTTACTGCAAAGAACTGACCAAAATATAATGAAGTTTCAAGCTGCTATTTTACTGAAATGCTAAAAAATTCAATTGTGTTAATATTTTTGTCAGGGATCGTATGTTATTGTCACGGTCTCGGTTCTGTTAAGTTTTATTTTGAGTATTCAGTTTTACTTTGCTCCATGTTTTCTAGTTTTTACTGGTTTAATTCCTATTTTGTTGTGTTTTTTTTTATATATTTGAGTTTTTAGGTTTTATTTGTTGCCCTCTTGTGTTGGTCTCCTTTTCCCTAGCTCCTTCCTAAACTCCTCTCTTCACACCTGCTCCCAATCTGCTCATAAGTCCTCTCTTTGTTCAGTCTCCCATATATACTCTCCTTATGCAGTTCCTTAGTGCTGGTTCCTCATCTTACCTCAGCTCCTCATGATTGCTTTCCCCGGATGTCTCCATGGTTCTGCTTTGTTTTACATTTTTCATGTTGGATTTTTGGATTCCTGCCTCAGTTGTTTGTGAACATTCAATTAAATCTTCAAGAAACCTCACCTCTGCCTCTGCATTTGGGTCTTCAAACCTCAACCAATGCCTGACAGTTATGCTAACCTTAACAATTCCAGGCCTTTGCAGGAAGATTTCTGCTGGAAAGTCCTGCAGGATAACATCACAAAGGAGTTCACAGGTTGTCCGCACCATGTTAGGATCGCTGCTTCCCAGAGAACTGCATCAAAGAAACAGGAGCAGATATATTTTCTGATTGCAGAAACCTTTCAAAAGTAGAAAATATATTACCCAGTAATTGGTAAAAAAAAAAAGAAGAGTGCAAAATTAATCTGATCTTGTTAGCAGAGCTGGGCATAAATTCAAACATTTTCTGGAACTTAAAAACTGAAGTCTGCCAAGTAGCTGATTAAACATGAGCAAGAAAGTGAAGTAAGCTGCATTGTTTCTTACCTCTCATTGGAAGAAAGTATATGTCGGTCCGTGTTTGTTAAAGTCAGCCAGGGAAAAACTGAAAATTTCAAACATCTCACAGATTCACGTACTAGGAAAGGTGGGAAAAAAAGACAAATCATTGTTATAGAAAACAATAACATAAGCTTCCACAAGAAGTGACAGTACATCTGTAAGGATTACCTGCTATCTTCTGAGGTGGTACATTTGAGTTTGACTGCATCCTGTTGTGGAAATAACCGATTTTAGGCAATTTATTGTCACCTGAAACAATAGTTGAGGCTGTGGAAGAGACAGCACATTTGTTACTTCAAATCTTGGACACAACATGTCTATTATAGAGTAGAAAAATCCCTTTATTGTCCAACATTGGGGAAATTCTGGTGTTTACAGCACCAAAAAGATTATAGAAAAACAAAAACAAAAAAATGGTCACACAAATGCGGACCTTAGAAATAAGAATAACATAATAGTGAAGAGTTAAAGAACATACAAATAAAACACTGTACTGTAAAGTGCTTTAACAATATAAATACTGTGCACCTGGGGAATAAATAACCAATATACAGCTATGGACATGAGTAGAGTAAGAAAAGAAAAAATAATAAAGTTTCTGTTCAATGTGGTGAGATGAAAATCATTCTCAGGTAAATGAAATATTTGGTTCAACTTGTGACACCTGTTGTAGTTGTGCTGCATGATCCATGAGAGTAGACAGCTGAATGACTGGGGAGTAGCTCATGAAGCTGGAACAGCTGGTCCAGGGTTCCATCAATGACAGCTCGCAGTCTGGGCTCGACTGTAGAAGAAAGCTGAGAGAGAAAGTCCACCGCCCCGACATCCCTCAGCATCTGGGCTGAACTCGGATGCTTTAAACACAAAACAACAACAAAAATTAGAAAAGTAGTTCAAAGGTTTCAGATAATCTATATATTTAAACAGTCGTGCTGCAACCTCTGTGTATGCATATATACAACATAGTATATAGTTTTTATTTGATCTTAACAGCAAACATCTATTTATGTTCGTACAGCAATTTTAGTCGATAACTGGAAAACTGTACAAAAACAAAGACATTTAACGGAATTTACCAATAATTTAAGGTTTAAGGATGTTACAATAAATGTCACTTTCAAATAAACTACAAATGTGTGCAGATATGTCTGCTGGTTCCTTTTCATTAAAAAACAAAAAAGTTAAATGTAAATTTGATCCGCACTTTTAATGGAAATTCAGTAACCAAAAAACGGGACAAACTTGACAAGTAAACCATATGCATATGGAGGCTGTTTTTTTTTTTATAAAGTTAATTCAATTTCCTTTATTTAAAGGAAATAGTAAGATCTTTTATTCACCAAGTAAAATGTTGAAGGACCTGTTCTCATTTTCAAAAGGATCTAGACCTGTTTTATTTTCACAGAAATAATGATCAGGCTTATGCTGATGAACAATAAAAAAAATCAAAGAATAAAAAAGTTATTGCTTTATTTTAGAAAATATTTGCTTTTAATTAGGGTGACCAGACGTCCTCTTTTTCCCGGACATGTCCTTCTTTTCATACCTATAAAAATGGATTTTTATAGGTATAGTCGACCTGGATTTTGGTCGACTATAGTGCAGCACGTAGTTGAGAAACACTGGGCACTGGAACAGAGCCATCAGCTCCGTGGCTGGAACCCCGGCGGACAGGGGCAGGGAGCCAGCAGAGGTAACAGGTTGGGTGCAGCTATCTGTGTTCAGAGCGTTTTGAGTCTGTATTTTTTTTCTGCTCTCGTGTCCCGTATCTCGGTGTTATATCATAGGATCGTTCGCTTTGAGACATCTGATTTGCGTTTGCATTTCACTGGTTAAACAGTGTTCATATGGTTAGAGGAGAGACGCACAGCAGCACTCAGTGAATATTAACCTGCAGCTACTTCAATGTTTAAGTAAAAGTTAGGAGACGGGTTGGTTAAAATAATTAGAGATGCCACCAAAAAAATTGGCAACAGATTGTAAGTTTAAACAAGTTAGTATTATAATGCAAGAAGCTTGAATAAACAATTTTTTATTCTTTACTAGTTAAAAAAATCTGGGCTTCTCAGAGAACCATGACTCCCAGTTACAGGTTAAAATTTACACGTTTTCTTATTTAACAGACAGAATCAGACTGCAGAGCTTCTACATATCTCAACATTTTTTTTCTGGCATCATTATATTAGTAAAGAGGTTCATAAATCTTTTTAAACAGAACAAAGAGAGAAGTAGGTAGAGCTGCAGATTTAAAGGTGAAACAGTTTTACTGGGATATGCAACATGCAATAAAATATATATCCCCAAGTTTACCACAAAGTTTACAAGAAAAAAATATGCTATGCTATATTTAAAATGCAGCATATCCAATTTTTTTCTGGACGGAATTGAAATTGCACCACTAGGGATGCATGATATATCAAGTTTGGCATTGGAATTGGCTCTACTAATTATATTTTTCATGCATTGATGTTTTGGGGCCCTATATTTGTAATGCACTTAAAGGCATCTCTCTAACATCTACAAATATAATATATGTTATATTGTAGATGTAAGCCTAATTCTATAAACAATTAGACAGAATTAACAAAAGTAGGCTGCAGGTTTCTCAGTCTGAACTATATATTAAAATATAACTGAGACACAAATGAAATAATAATAAATGAGTCTACCTGCATGTGGTTCCAAAATCACACATTTTAAAGCCTAGCAGTAATTATCCTTTAAGTCTCACTCACATGGTGATTTCGAAATGAGTAAAATACTGTATGTGTACCTTTGATAAAGTTAAAAGCAACCCAAGAACGTCCTCCTTCATTGGCACCTCCGGGAAATTGAACCATTCAAGCAGATAAACAAACAGCATCTTTTCCTGAACAATGTCAGTCACAGTGATGAGGGAATGCTTCAGTTTACTTAAAATGCTCTTCAACGCTCGAACTCTTATTTCCACTAACGAGTGGCCTGAAATTAAAAGAAACGAAATCACACAATATCAAAACAGACATTTATAAACTAGTTTCGACACAGTTCAACATAGTTATATCCGTATAACGGGCGAAAAGTTACTTTGCGTTAGCTGAAATGCTAACGGTTTCATTGCTATGATTGTCTTATTAGCGTAAAGTTGAGCAAAACTCAGCTAGCGGTTCGGCCTACCCATTTTCTTTATAAGCGGGGATAACATGTCCATGTTTAACTTGATGACTTGTCAAGGCTCTCTGCTTAGAACCCTTGTAAAATAAGCTGTTCGCCAGTTTGACTGTGTGGTCTCTGCTTTTCTATGAGCGACATGTCAACAACTGCCCCGGGTTTGTGTTCAACAACCGCGCCAGCGTCACCGCGCTTCCGGTACGAGTCAGAACCAAGGCGCGTTCAGGAGCACTAAATGTGTAGGAAAATGTATTATTCGTAGAATTTCAATGTGACAAATAAACGTTGCGCTTAGTGTAGGTATCAGTAATTTTAGTAGCAAGTGCAATATTAAAGAAATAGTATAAATCTACAGTGACAAAATATAGATCTTACTCCTAACTAAGGTGAAGTAGGTATGATGTTAAGATTTCACACCTTAAGAGAACGCCTCTTCTTCAGGGGCCGCTGAAATTTCATGTTGTGTTTTATTCCCTTCATTCAATGCTTTGTAAATCTTTAAATAAGTAAATGCCATTTAACAGAATTGTACATTCATAAAACAAATAAGTAGGCTAATATATTTATTAATAACACTGTTAATATTCGAGTCATTCAATAATTAGAAAGCATACAAAGAAATGTCCATTTATACAATATAACTATCACGTTTATGCAATATAATTATTACGTTTATACAATTTAATAAGCAAAAATTTATTTTTCTCAAGTGACAGCAATACACCATTGAAATGTCCCTTTTTGTTTAAAAAAAAAGGATGGGTATATTATTAAAATATTGATAAATATTACTTTAATAAAACCAACTTAAGATATTAATAGAGATTCCGAAAGTAAAAAAGCGAAAATTTCAAAAAAAGAAAGAAAAAACAACAACAATCCACTGGACTTCGTTTCCAAGTTTGAAGATGTTTTGCTTCCCATCCTAGAAGCTTTTTCAATTCAAAATGTCAGGAATAGCGTTGAGTTCTGGGTTTTATACAATAGCCCAACAAAGCCTTGTTTGTGTTTTGAAAACATGCAATTTGAAACGGACGAAGGGGTCCACCCCTTAGGAATGGGGGGTCGTTTGGCTTCTTTTGTTAGCCTGCAATGCCCCATACCTGACCCCCATTCCAATGCCACCATTTTGGCTACTATATAAAACCTCGACCTCAACGCAATTCCTGACATATTGAATTGAAAAAGCTTCCTGGCTGGGAAGCGAAAAGTCTTCAAACTTGGAAGCAAAGTCCAGTTGATTGTTTTAAATTTTCTATTTTTTGGAATGACTTTGACCTGGATGACTGAGAATCTTCACCAGCAATGTGAAAATAATAATAATAATAAAAAAATTAAACATGTAATAGTATTCATTCAGTTATTTTTATTCAAGTCATGTTTTGAAGAATCTTATATGTTTCTTTTATTTGTCATATAAATATAGAAGTACTTGAGCAGAACTAATACTAAGTTGGTCAGTAGAAGTGTTGTACAGGATAAGCAGTCACATAGGGTTTATCTAGTGAGCAATTGTTTAAGCCACTTTTTTCCAGCAAACCCATCACAAGTAATTATCAAAAGTGTTTCAGTCAATGTACATGTGTTTGTTTTTTAAGTGGCTAAAACTAAATTATTCTCATTCACTGTATAAAACAAATCCAGTTGCATGATATCTCACACTTGAAATGTGACACTGATAAATTCAGCCAGCAGGGTGATAATTAATTTGCCTAGCAAAAGATTTGATGTCATTATAATGTAACCACACTTTGAAAGAATTCCAGTGGGATTAAGGCCCTATAATTAATTTCAGCCTAGGAGTGAATGTTCTACAAATACATTAAAGCAGCAATGCTTTGAGTGGGTGAAAAGAACAAGACCATTGCCACTAATTCCAGCATATGTTTTTGCATTTTGCCAAAATCTCATTAGCTATTTCTAACTTACATCCATTATACTATATTCAGTTGTAATCTTAATGATCAAAATCACTTTTTTTCAGCGGCTGGACCGAATGGATTAAGGAGAAACCTTTTCACACAGAAAACCCATTTAAATTCTACTAATGTTTTTTCTTTTATAAATCTTTGCCTCCTTGCCATCATTTAGAATTAAGTGTCTGCAATGGAAACTTGCCAGCTCTGGTGATCAACTTGTCACATGCCTTTATAAGTTGCAGTCACAGATTTTACAGCATTTCTCTCTTCGCTGAAAGAAAAAGCATAGGACACATTTTTGTTCTATATGTGTTTTTTTCACTTCACAGATATAGAATATAATGAAACATGTTCTAGAGAAATTTGTCAGAAGAGCATTGCTTTTTTACAATCACATCTAGATAGTGGAAGCAAAACCATGTTAACAACATAAGATTGATGAAATCTTATTAATTAAGGGCTTGCAATGAGGATTTGTATTTATTTTTCCTTCTAATTATAAGTTGAGGAACATTTGTTGCTTTAGCTTTCAATCCATAATTTCCCAGCTATATTGTTTCAGTGAAGTATTTAATATCAAGCCTGAAGAGTTAATCTTTGTGTATGAGTTTTTACAGTTTTTTAATGAACATTTGATTTCAGATACTATATACAGTAGTTTTGTTTTGCCTTTCTCGAGTTTTTGTCCTGGAAGGAGACACAGAATTGTTTAATTTCAGACCAGCTTTGTATCTGTCATTTTCTTCTAGGGTGCAAAATAAGGTGATTGTATACAGATTTTCTAAAGTCAAACTAATTTCTTGCAAAATGCCAATAAGGTTTAAATCTCAGCACAGTACTGAGTGACATAAGTTAGATGAACCGCACTCAGTGTTGGTCTCCCAGGTCCAGCAGCATTTAATTATGGTTGAAAATAAATGCTGCAACTAATGATTACTGTGCAAATTGAATCATCTGTTGATTGTTTTTTCGATCAATCGATTAATAATCGTTTAGCCAAGGGTTCCTAAAAGATTTTTTTACTCAAAAGTATTTTTTTTATTTTAAATGCAAAATGTTTTCATATTTTTCTTTTTACAATTTTGATATAATTACTGCTCTAAGTGGGTTGCTCTGTCTGTTAGGTTTCTGTTATGTTTTTCTTTTGAGTATTCAGTCTTACTTTACTCCTTGATTTCTAGTGTTTAGTTTTCTTTTCACCATGTTTTATAGTCCTAGTTATTTGATTATCATTTTGTTGTTATTTCCAGTCTTCCAGGTTTCTATTTGTTGCTCTCTGCTGCCCTTTTATGTTCTCCTTCTTCCCTAGCTCTTTCCCTCTCTTGTTCTTTGCACACCTGCTCCCAGTTTCCTCATTAGCCCCCTCTTTGTCTCAGTCTCATTTAAAAAGCCCTCTCTGTTCAGTTCCCCTTTGCTGGGTCCTCGTCAAACACTGTCTACATGCTCCAACTCCTTCTCTCTGTGCCTACCTCGTTATGTTTGTGATTCCCCTGATGTCCCCATGGTTTCTGGTATGTTAGACTAGTTTTCATGTTTTTGATTTTTGGACTTCTGGTTTCATGTTTGTTTGGACTTTGTTTTCCTTTTGGATTTTTGGATAACCAGCCTCTGATTTCTGTTTAGTCATTATTAAATCCACAACAGATTCACCTCTGCCTCTCTGCCTCTGCTTTTGGGTCAACACTCAATAACCAAATCCTGACACTGACAGCTAAAAGCGTATTTTAGAGTGTCTATACTCCAGTTAATGATTAATCGATTACTCAATTAGTTGACGATTATTTCAACAATCGATTAATTAAGCACAGTTAATCCGATTAATTGTTTCAGCCATAGTTGAAAATACAATGCTTATTTCACACTTTGAGAGAACTTTTAGTATCAGTGGTACTGTGCTGAATTAACTCATGTCATACTTAAACAGGTAAGGAGGCAAAGATTTATAAAAATAAAATAAAAAAAATAGAATATAAATAGGCTTTCTGTTATAGCTTGTGGTGATTTAGCATTGTGTACTTCATTCACAAGTAAAATGATGCAAGGCACTATTCTTGGCCCTCTCCTATGTTCTTTGTATATGCGCCCTCTAGGGTCTGCTGATTGCCAAATATTATCTGTCTTTTCACCATTATGCCGATGATGCACAAATCTTTTTGGCAGTTAAACACACTGAAAAGATAAAATGTAGCTCTTAACCAGAGCTGCATAAGGGAGATAAAGGTATTGCTGCCCAAATTTTATTTTTCTACTGTATAATAAAAACACTAAATGCACCACTAGCCTGCCCATTATTTCACTGTCAGATTGTAATCTTGTTCTTCATTGCCAAGCAGAAGATAAAAAGTGTGGGGGAAAAAACAGAGCAAAGTTTTCACCTGCTCAGTGTCCTAGTGAAAGCTGAATACCTTCACAATTATTACAACCTGGACAAAAGTCATTCATGCATTTTACCCCAAGACTTGATTATTTTACTATATTTTGTAGTGAATGCATCAGACCTCAGTTGCTCAACTTCAGAATCCTTTAACACATCTGGTTTGAACCATCACATCAGTGCTTTTACCTATTAATTAATTTCCAGTTTATTTTAGAATTTAAAATGTATTTCATATTTAAAAGACTATTAATAGCTTTGTCCCTATATAATCTTCCCAGTCTCCGTGAAGGGATTTTAGACGTGCCAAGCTCAAGGTACATATAGTGGGGTGCTGTATCAATATTCCCCATATTTATGCTTCTTTGAAGTTCTTGATGTTAGAGATATTTAACTAAATTAGCTCTTAATAATAGCACTGGTTTGCCTGGAACTACCACACATTTGATGTACTGTTTATGTCTTGCATGTTTTCAAAAATTATTTAATTTAATCTATAGAGCTTTATGTTATTTATCATCGTTGTGGGGTGTATAGGTTTTATTTCTTTTTTACTTTTGTTGTAAACTACTTTGGTCACCTTTGGAAACTGATAATGCTAATTGCCATTCAGAATCCCCTTCATTACGTGTCAAGACCAGCTCTCTTCCTCCATTGCAGCTGACCTTCAACCCATCTCCGCCCCATCTCTCCCCTTCTTCGAGATATTCTCAGCCCTTCTCATTTCCTGACTTATTCCACCATCAGTGTCTGGGCCTAACCTATTCATTCAAGCTCATGACATTCCTCAGTGTCAAGTCTTCGGCCAGGACCTGGACATCACTGTACTTATCTCATTCTTGTCAAAAAATCTTTCTAATTGCATCTTTTCTCTCTGTGAGTCTCTCT